TGCTGCCATCCAGGGACCTTCCAGCCCCTCTGGCACCGCCGGGCTCCAGGCCTGGCATCGGTGTCCCCGCTTCCAACCAGCCTCGGTGGTCCCCCCCCCATCTGCAACCTCTCCCAAAGCCAAGGAACGAGCTCTGGGGACATCAAGGACAGTGTCACAGCCCCCCCAGACCACTGGGGAGGTGGGAGGGGTTCCCCCCCTGCTCCTTCTCTTGCTGTGTTATTTTCAGCCGTGGTTTGTGGAGTGATTTTAATTAAATCCTTCATCTCCCGTCCCTGTCATTCCCACCTCGCTGCTGGAGCAGCTCTAGTTTAAGCTTGATATGTGTGTATATATATATTTAATTGGTATAAATAATGCATTCCCAGTGCTGGCTCTTCCCTTCGCTCCATATTTGGTGCTACAAAGGGAATTTTTTGTCTTGAACAGGCTTTTCTTTGTGTGTTTCTCCCCTCGGTCAGAGCAGGTCCCTCCTCGGAGGGCTGAGATCGCGTGACGGGGGCTGTGGGTGACCAGGACATGGCCTGGACAAAGCAGGACAGGGAATGCCGGGTCCCTCTGGGATCTGACCCCTCAGCCCACGTGCAGGAGGCTGAGCAGGGCTGTGATTTTGGGGGAGCATCACTATCACCCTAAAGGCATCCCCAGGGGCACATGCTGTGCCACCATGGCTTCTGCCAGGGCTGGCAGTGAGGGAGGGGGGACAGGGCCATCACTGCTCTCCTGTGCCCCAGCCAGGGCCCTGTGGGTGCTGGGGCTGCTGCCTAACCCCCCTTTTCCCCTCTCTGCAGGGAGCATAATGCTGAACAGCATCACCGATGGGCTCCTGTGCTGCCTCATGGGCAAATCCACCAACGCCGTGGGGCCGCTGGACAGCGTTGAGTCCAGCAACGGCTACAGCTTCGTGGAGGTGAAGCCAGGCCGGATCCTGCGGGTCCGGCACAGCGCTCCCAGCCGCCTGGCCCCGGAGGAGCCCGAGGAGGCGCAGCCCGGGGCGCCGGAGCGGGGGGTGGTTCACTGCAAGCGCAGGATCACCCTGTACCGCAACGGGCAGCTGGTGATCGAGAACCTGGGCGACGCCGTGCGCTCCGAGATCCTGCAGTGCCAGGGCGGCGCGGCCGAGCCCGGCGGCACCGTGGAGCTGGAGCTGCCCGAGGCTCCCGCCCAGGCTCCCGCCGGCACGCCGGGCTGCGGCACCCGCGACGCCGCGCCCGCCAAGCGCCGCAAGCGCAGGCCCAAGAAGGTGGTGAACATCGACTGCAAGAAGCAGATCACGAGCTGCAAGGGGACGCACAGCGACGTGGTGCTCTTCTTCATCCACGGCGTGGGCGGCTCCCTGGACATCTGGAAGGAGCAGCTGGACTTCTTTACCAAGCTGGGCTACGAGGTGGTGGCCCCGGACCTGGCGGGCCACGGCTGCAGCTCGGCCCCCCAGATCGCCGCCGCCTACACCTTCTACGCCCTGGCCGAGGACATGAGGGCCGTGTTCAAGCGCTACGCCAAGAAGAGGAACATCCTGATAGGACATTCCTATGGGTAAGGGGCCCGGAGAACGGATGGGTCCACCTCCCTCACCCCCCCAGCCCCCTCCTTGGCAGCGAACACCCAACAAATCCTGCGCCTCGGGGGCGTGGGGGTTCCTGCTCTGGGTTTATCCCTTGGCTCTGATCTCCTACATCCTCCTGGGGGGTGTCCCTGGGCCCAGCTAATCCCAGAGCCCAGCCTCTGGTGGGGAAGCTGGCAGAGCACGGCCTATAAATAGGGTAAGCCCAAGAAAGTCAATTAGACAGAGACTAAGCAGTGCCTGGGAGGAGAGAGAGCTGGAGCCGGCTTGGAGACGGCCAGGATTAGACCAGGACAAGGCTGGGTCAGGCTGGCGGGCACCCAAGTGGGTCCCAGCACCCTGCTCTGCTCTGGGCAGGAGTGAAACTTCCAGCTCAGCCCCTCTGCTGGGGGAATTTGTGTCCCCTGCCCCAGAAAGGGGGAGCACAGGTCAAACAAAGGGGGATAGCCATGGATCCTCGGGATCACAGAACCCTGGAATGCTTTTGGTGGGAAGGGACCTTAAAAGTCCATCCAGTTCCCCCCCTGCCGTGGGCAGGGACACCTTCCACTATCCCAGGTTGCTCCAACCTGGCCTTGGACACTCCCAGGGATGGGGCAGCCACAGCTCCTCTGGGCAGCCTGTGCCAGGGCCCCCCCACCCCGGGGGTCAGGGCGTGGTCCCCATGTCCGTCTGTCCCCACAGGGTGTCCTTCTGCACCTTCCTCGCCCACGAGTACCCAGAGCTGGTCCATAAGGTGATCATGATCAACGGCGGGGGCCCCACGGCGCTGGAGCCCAGCCTGTGCTCCATCTTCAACATGCCCACGTGTGTCCTGCACTGCCTGTCCCCCTGCCTGGCCTGGAGCTTCCTCAAGTGAGTGGCCATGCTGGTGACGGGCAGGGCTGGGGCGGGGACACCTCCTCCTTCCCCCCACTGTGCCCCCGAGGCCGGGCTGACCCTCGGCTCCCTCCTGCAGGGCCGGCTTTGCCCGCCAAGGTGCCAAAGAGAAGCAGCTGCTGAAGGAAGGCAACGCCTTCAACGTCTCGTCCTTCGTGCTGCGGGCCATGATGAGCGGGCAGTACTGGCCCGAGGGGGACGAGGTGTACCACGCTGAGCTGGCCGTGCCCGTGCTCCTGGTCCATGGCATGCACGACAAGTTTGTCCCAGTGGAAGAGGACCAGAGGATGGCCGAGGTACGGGGCGGGGTGAGAGGCTGCGCTCGACCTCAGAGGTCTTTTCCAACCCCATCAATTCTGTGAATGGGGTTGGGGGTGGATGGCCCAGGGGGGCTCCTTCCAGCGCTGACCCTGTGCCACCACCCCCTCCCCTCCCTGCAGATCCTGCTGATCGCCTTCCTGAAGGTGATCGACGAGGGCAGCCACATGGTGATGATGGAGTGCCCCGAAACGGTGAACACGCTGCTCCACGAGTTCGTCCTGTGGGAGCCCGAGACGCCAGCTGGGGACGGGCACGGGGAGAAGAAATAAGGCAGCGGGACACGGAGACCGGGCTGCTCCCATGGGAGAGATGATTCGGAGCGCAGAGGGCTTTGGGAGAGCGGAGGGGCTCCGGGGGCTGCCCTCGTCGGGAGCGCAGCCCGTTTGGTTTCCCGGCCATGCCAGAGGCTGGAGGGGGAGCAGGGAGGCTCCCCCAGGGCAGGGAGTGCAGGGCCGGCAGCGGCAACACGGCAGACCTGGTCCCCACCCCCGCGGGGACGGCGCCGGAGCGTCTTCATCCTGTTCCTTTGTAGTGTTATTTTCCTCACGCAGCAACACCTCCGGGGACCGCTCCCACCTGCGGCGAAACGGGAAGGACTCGCAGGGGCTCCAGGAGGGCCGGAGGAGCTGAGCTGGGATTGCTTTAGAGGGGAAGCCAAAGGCTCTTGGGCCTCATCAGCGGGATTTGCCTCTCGAGCCAGCCGGGAGGACGGGACAGCCACGTGGCAGCTTCGAGGGGCTCCTCGTGCACGGCAGCAGCTCCTGCACAGAGGATGAGGAGGTGTCGTGTCCTGCCCCCATGGGCACGGCCAGGACCGCGGTGGGACTGGCCTGGCTGTGGCAGGGCCGAGCCTGAGCTCTGCCACGTCCCCCCCCGGTCCCCTCTCCATCGCTTTAGGTACCGCAGTGCTTCCGCAGCCCCCGCTCCCCCTCCCGCTGCCGCAGCCCCCCGGAGCTGCCCCCACCCCCGTCCCGAGCCAGCCGCCCTGCCCAGCCCCTCCACGGCTCCGGGACCCACCACAAACTGCCCCGGGATCACAGCCGTGCCTCGAGCAGCAGGGGAGCAGCAATACCCCCGTACCGTGGCCGCCGTGTCTGTCCTTCCCGACGGCTCCCAGACGGATCCGCAGGGTCTCGGAGCAACACGGGAGCGGGGAAGAGAACCAGGACCACCTGATCACAACAGACACCGTCACTGACACTGTTCTGTACATAAACCATCACCTCCCACCCTGTGCTTCCCACCCCGCTGCCGGGAGCTGGGCAGGGCTGAGGAGGTACCCGGGAAGTGCCATCCCAGCTTCCTGGGGCTCCCAGAAATCCGGGAGGATGCTGTGCCCGGGAGGCAGGCCCAGCCTCCCCCTGCCCTGCTCCTGCTTTGTTTGCCCCTCACTCCCCCCATCTAAACCAAAGAAACGACGAGTCCCACGGAAACCTCACCCTCGGCCCCCACCCCACCCAAACCCTGTGCCCTGAACGGGGCTGGCACTGCACCAAGGCACCCCTGGGGGGGCTCAGGGGGGTCCTCCTGGACAGGGCCACTCCCACCAGAGCTGGGATCACCCTGCAATGCACCTTCCCCAGGGCTGAGCCCACCTTTGTCCCCAGAGTGAGGGATGTGGAAGAGGAAGGGTCCACCAGGCCCCGAGTGACGCGTCCCCTGTGCCCCCTCTGCCAGTGCCTGCCCTTGCCACTGCTGTCTCATAATGAGAATTTTAAGCCCCCTGGGTTCAGATCATCTCCCTCTACCCCCTCCCACCCCATGCTGCCCAGGGAGACCCCCCCACCCCCAAGCACACCCAGGGGCTGCAGAGGGTGCCCAAAAACACCACCAAACGTCCCCCCAGACACGGCTCTGCCCCCGCCGTGCCCCTCTTCCCCAGCCAGCCAGGGGTCACGGCTCTGCCAGCTCTGTCCCCACATTTGCTTGTGCTAAAGCCGAGGCAAACGCACATGGAACCCGCAGCCACCGCCGCGTTAGTGCCATTCCACAGTAAAGCCGTGCTATAGCCCAGCCGTGTCCGACTGCCTGCTGGGGAGAGGGGTGGGGTGCCCTTCTGCTTGTCCCCCTGCACTGGTTGTGCCCCAGGAGCACGGCAGAGCAGGGATGGGAAGCCAGGAATCTCCCACAGCTTGGAATTCTTAAGGCAAACCCATCCCCGCAGTGATTTATTGGCCACCCGGTGGCGGGAAGCAGAGAAACAGAAACAACCTTCACGACATAAAAGCTGCACCTCAAGGACGGTCACCTCCCCGAGCTGAGCGCCCCGGGGTGCTCAGCACCCCCCAGGGATGTCCCCGGGCCGGAGCTGCCGCTCGCCCTCGGCCAGGAAGATGCTCATGGCCCGGTACAACATGTGCACCCCCAGGCGCCGGCGCCGCTCGGGCGCCCAGCCCGCGGCCACCCCGTAGCAGTGCCCTTTCCGCTGGTTGGTGAGGGTCTGCAGGCCTGTGGGGAGGGGGACAGCACCCATGGGGGCGGGGTCAGCACCCACAGACCCGCCCCCCTGCTCCCCACCAGCACCCACAGCCCTGCGAGGACAGAGGCGGCCCCACACCCCCCAACATCACCCGCTCCCAGGCAGCTTTTCCCACTGGAAATGGTGGGCTGGGGGCTGTACCAGACCCTGCGCTGGGAACTGGGAATCCCAAAGTCCCCAGGATGGGCTGCACCCCCCACCATGACCATCCCCTGGCTCCTGCAGGGGTGGCAGAGGGATGTGGGGAGCGGGGGCTGTGCTGGGCATTGGGGCAGTCCCAGGGTCCCCCCCCTGCTCACCCAGCGCCTCCACCATGCAGCCCTCCCTCGTGTAGGCCTCTGCCGGGACCCTGTTCTGGAAGCAGAGCACGGAGACCACGCCGTGCCCGCTCTCCCAGATCTCCAGGATGCGCCGCACCTTGGGGCAACCCTGCGGGACAGCGGGGACTGTCACCAGGGCCACCAGTGCCCAGCACAGCCCCTGTGCCCACATCCATGGTCTCCAGCCCCCTGTGCCCATCCCCACAGCCCACAGCCCCCCTTGCCCATCCCCACAGCACTCAGCCCCCCGGAGCAGCCCCCATGCCCACCCTCACAGCCCCCAGCCTCCCGTGCCCACCCCCCAGCCCCCAGATCTCCCCACCCGCCGTGTCCCCGCCCGGTGCTGGCCCAGGGCCTCGGCCAGGTGGCAGTAGGGCCTGGCTCCGGGTGCCCTTGCCCACGTAGAACACAGCGCTGACGAAGGTCTGGAAACGCTGGGCCGGGCTCAGGCGGGGGCAGCGCAGGGGCAGGTCCTGGGTGACCCTGGGGGTGCAAACCCCACCTCAGTACCCTGGTGCCTCACAGGGGTCCCCACCTGGGCCCTGCTGGCACAGGGAGCAGCAGGCACAGCGCCCCTGCCCTACCTGGGGTCGAGGAGGAGGTAGTTGAAGCTGGACTTGAGCAGCCCCTCCCGCCAGCGCCGGCTGCGGTCAGGATACTCGAACTGCCGCGCCAGTGCCAGCTCGTCCTGGGCACAGTCGGGGATGTGGCCGGTCCTCAGCGCAGCCACCAGCTCCGGGCTGTGCCCTGGGGGGGCCGTGCCAGTGTTGGGGACCACCGCGAGCCTCATGGCCGTCACCACGGCCTCAGGGCAGCCCCCCGTGCCCATCAGCACGGCCCCCAGCCCCCCACACCCATCCCCACCACCCCGGGGAGCTGCCAGGCCGGATGGGAACCCCAGGATGTGTCCCCCAGGACGGGATGCCCGAACTCACCCTCCGGCTGCCCCCTGTGTCCCGTGCCCAGCTCCTGCAGCCGCCGCCGGTAGAGCCCCTGGGTGAGGTCGGTGACGGGTCCCGGCTCCTCCCCCAGTTCCCGCAGCCGCCGCCGCAGACTTTGGTCCGAGAGGGACCCTGGGGACACTCGGCCATCCCTGCCTGTGGCATCCTCGGGGCTGGGGGTGGCCCCTGTGCCAGGACTGTGACACTCGTGGGGTGACTGTCCCTGCCCCTCATCCTCTCGACACCCCCTGGAGCAGCGGGGGCCACAGCCAGGGGGTGACAGCGGCACAGAGGGGGTGCCCAGGTCACCCCTGGCAGTGCCAGGCGGTTGAGGGGCCAGAAGCTGCCTGGCGCTCCCGTGGGGCCACTGGAACTGGGGTGTCCCCAAGGGTGAGTGGCGCTGCCACCCAGAGCCACCCTTCGGCACCCTGATGTGGGGAGAGCCCCAAGGGCCTGATGGGGCATCCTGGGAGGGCCTGGGGTCCCCAGGGCACAGCAGGATGGTGGGGCTGGAGCCAGGGGAGCTGCTGACCCCCCCCGGGGGTGAACTGGAGGCTCCAGGGAGGATCTTGGTGCCTTCCAAAGAGTCTGTCCCCTCTCCGTCCTCCCTGGACACATCCTTGTCCCACGGGGTGACACAGGGTCCTGGGGGGGTGGCAGGGTCCCTGGGGACCCCCTGGGGGGATCTGATCCTGAGGGGTCTCCGGGGCATCAGCAAGGTCCCGTTGAAGAGGGAGGAAGAGGAGGAGGAAGAGGAGGAGGAAGAGGAGGAGGAGGGGGAGTTGAGCCGCGCTGCGGCCGCCCGGAGGCGGCTCCTGGTCCTGGGGGTGACGTGGCTGTGCCCGGGGGGCTCCTGGCCCTAGGGGGTCACATCCCCAGCGGCCACACCGGCCGGGCTGCGAAGGGACCGCGGGGTGCGGGGTGGGGACCCCTGGAGGCTGCACCCCTGGAGCCGGGCAAGCAGCTCCCCCACATCACCCAGGCCTGGGCCACCCCCACAGCGAGGGGCTGCCCTGGAGCCCCCCCAGAGACCCCCACACCGCACCTGCTCCGCATGGGGGGCTGGCACAGGGCAGCTCCTGGGGGGCAGCTCCCATTGGGGAGGGGGCTGCACCCCAGCCCAGCCCCCCTGCTGCCCTGGGTGGGGGGGAGCAGAGGGGCTGAGCCCCCCAGTTCCCCCCAGCCTCTCTGGGCTCCAGGGCCTCCAGGGCAGTGACAAAGCCCTCGGTGGCACTGCTGCTGTCCCCAGGGCTGCTGCTGTCCCCAGGGCTGTCAGGGTCCCACCCATCAACTCCCACCCTGGGCACCACCACCCCCATTTTGGGGGCAGCACCCCCCACCCGTCCCCAGGGGACACCAGGGGGGTGCTGAGGGATGTCACTGTCACCAGGACCCGGGGACACCTTGGAGCAGCTGCTCAGGCCACGGCAGGGCAGGGGGGCTCTGTGTCCCCCCAATGTCCTGCTGCAACACCGGGGGTCAAACTGGGGGGAGGGGACAGGGATGTCCCCAACACTGGGCTTGGGGGGAGCCCAGGGGGGACGCCTGGTCCTTCCCCCACCAGTCCAGCTTGGGGGTCCCTCCTGGAGCTCGTCCCTGTCCCAGAGCAGTGTGCTGGAGGCGAGGGGCTGTGGGGGGACAGCAGAGTCCCTGGGGTCCCCCCGGGGCCATGGGGGGAGGGACAGGGGCTCTGGGACACAGCGGCCCCCAGCTCCCGCTCCTCCAGGAGGGACCTGCGGGTGCTGCTGAGGGGTCCGGCCTCGGAATTGTCCTCAGAGGGTCCAGAGGAGATGCTGCCATCAGAGTCATCCTCGGTCAGGAGGGACAGGAGTCAGTGCCCAGCCCAAACTGGGGGGCTGGGTGGGACCCCCAACCCCAACCCCAGCCAAGGGGGCACCCGGGGACCTCACCCTCCACGAGGGGCCAGCCCTGCTCCAGCACCGCATCCACGGCCCATTTCCCATCCTGTGCGGAGGGGACATCGCTGTCACCGCTGCCAGGGCCACCATGGGGTGACACAGCCCTGCCAGGGCAAGGTGAACGCCCACAGCTCCCCCAGCCCACCGACGAGGAGGGTCCCGTGGGTGCCGTCCCCGTGCCCAGGGACGTCCCTGTCCCCGCTCACCTGGTCCCGCAGGAGGAGCCCGAGGCACCGGCGGCACCCCCGGGCCGCGGCCTCGTGGAGCGGTGTCAGCTCCTGGGAGCGCCTGGAGTGCGGGATCGGGGGGTTACAGAAGAGCCACCACCCCGCAGTGGGTGCTCCAGCACCATCGCGGGGGACACCGCGTGGCCACAGCAGGTCCCCGGCGTTGGGGTCCCCACCGCGGTGCAGGCAATCCCCCCTGTCCCGGTATCCCCCAGTCCCGGTGCGTTCTCCTTGTCCACGTGTCATCCCCCGGTCCCGCTGCCCCCACTCTGGTGCCGGTGTCCCCCCTTGGATGCCGGTATCCCCGCGTCCCCCCGCAATCCCGATATCGGCCCCAGTATCCCCTCCGTGTCCCGGTGTCCCCTCCCGGTATCCCCCGGTGTCCCCCCCCAGGTCCCCCCGGTGTCCTCCCTGGATCCCCCCGATGTCCCCTCCTGATCCCCCCGGTGTCCCCTTCCGGTATCCCCGGTGTTCCCCTGATCCCCCTGATGTCCCCTCCTGGATCCCCCGGTGTCCCCTCCTGATCCCCAGTGTCCCCCAGATCCCCCGATGTCCCCCCTGGATCCCCTCGGTGCTCCCCTCTGGATCCCCCGATGTCCCCCTGGATCCCCCGATGTCCCCCTGGATCCCCCTGGTGTCCCCCGATCCCCTGTGTCCCCCTTACATTCCGCTCATCCCGCCCCGCGCACGTGCCACGCCCCGCCCGTTCAAACCCCCCGCGCCGCCGCTCATTGGCTGGCGAGCTTACGTCATCCAATCCTGCGGTGACGTAACAGCCGGGGAGGCGGAGCCAAACCGCTCCGTGGCCCCGCCTCCTGACCCTCAGCGCCCCCCAGCGGCCGCCGCCGGTATCTCCCAGCGACTGCACCAGTGCTCCCAGTGCCCTGAACCAGCACTGCCCAGCGCCTCCCAGTACTCCCCACCAGCTCTTCCCAGCACCTCCAGCACAGGGACAGGGGGGGCTGACCCTGCACCCCCAACCCCACTCCCACCCCCGACCCCGCAGCACCAGCACGACACCAATCAGGTAAACACCTCTGTTTCCCCATCCCAACAAAACCCCGCAGGAGCCGCCACGACTCCCCCTCCGCAGCCACCTCCCCCCCTCCAGGCAGGGCTCAGACGGTGGCCTCGACCTCGGGGGGCTCGTCCTCCTCGAGCAGCCCGTAGGCCGCGTGGCTCTGGAAGGGGCGCTGCAGGGGGTGTGCCAGCAGCTTGGCCATGCAGTTGTGCAGCTCCACCGCCGGCCCCGTCAGCGGCACCTCGTACTTGTAGTTGGTGCCCTTGGTGTCCAGGCTGCTGAAGAAGCCGTACATCTCCTGGGGAGGGAACATCTCCTGGTTTTGGGGATTACCAGCCCCCAGGAAAGGGTGTGGGGGGGTAGGCTGGGCAACCCCCACCCCGGTGTAACCCAATTCTGACATGCAGAATTCCTTACTCCAAGGGAGGGAGTAATCCCTCCCGCCAGCACACAGCTCCTGCTGAGCCCCCCAGGGAAATGCCCCCTGCCCGCTGTACCTTCCAGCTGGTCTCCTCCTCCTTCTCCTCCAGGCCGTTGTGGATGTAAACCACGTCGAAGAAGAAGTAGGGGCACTGCAGCATCTTCTGCAAGGGAAACAGGGAGCTTTTCCAGGGGTAACCCTGGAGCCACTGAGGTCACCCGGAGGGGACAGAGGCCGCACTCACGGAACCACCTCCCTGGTCCTGCCGCCACACCGCTCCTGATCCAGGCCAGGACACCACCAGCCTTCCCAGCCCATGTTCAGCTCCCTGTCAGTGCCCAGGTCCCTCCCTGCCCCCCATGCCCGGGCTGTGGTGCCGCAGGACCCACCTTCATGTGCTCGGACATGGAGAACTGGGGCTGGCACCCGGGCCGGCCGAACACCAGGATGGTCCGGACCACGTAGGGCGGGGGGATGGTCTGCACGTTCTCCGTCACCGGCAGCTCGATCTTCTGCTGGCTGTGCCAGGGGAGGGGGAGGTGGGTCAGGGACCCCCATGGCACCCCCAGCTCAGGGACCATCCCCAGAGAGCAGCACCCACCCCCAGGAGCCCTTCAGGTTAAAGGCTCAGGGGCAAAGCAGGGAATCTGCAGCCAGGCGGGAGATCTGATCCCCCCACCCAGGACCCCAGACTGCCCCAGCACCCACTGACCCCCCTCAGCACCCCTGAGCCCCCCCAAACGTACTCACATCAGGTTGAAGAGTCCTTCCAGATCTGCACCCCAGGTAAGGACCAATCCTGGCACGTGGATCTCCACCCTGCCCACCCCCAGGCACATCGCACGCCCCAGAGACATCCCAACCCCAGGCTGGCACCAGGACACCCAGGCAGCACCCCCGGAGGGAGGTGACGTCACTGGGCACTGGAAATGGGAGAAAACATCAATAAATGTGAGTCTGCTGGGTCTGGTGTTACCCCCCAGCCTTGGTGGGGGCTCAACAGCTCCATGTGACCCCCTCCAGCCTCCAACACCGACACTGCTCGGGATGCCAGTGAGGAGCCTCGAGGGTGCCTGCAGACGCCCAAGGGACCCTGTTTGCACCCAAGGAACCTTGTTAGCACCCAAGGGACCCTCATCCCAGCCCCACAGGCGGGTGGATACTGAAAGACTTGCAGACGACGGTCTCCAGGTCGTAGAGGCAGCTGCAAACCTCGCGGGGGTCCGAGGTGAACCCTGAGAGCTGAGAGGAGCCGGGTGAGGGGTGCACAGAGCCGTGCCTGTCCCCAGCCCTGTCCCTGTCCCTGTCCCCCTCTCACCCACGTGGCGTCGTTGTTCACCACCACCAGGGCGAACTCGTGGCACTTGTCAATCTTGTGCTTCGTCCTCACGAACATCTCGATCATCTTCTGGGAGATGTTCAGCGCGTTGGTTTTGGACCTGCCGGGGTGGGGTCGGGGCTCAGCGGGTCCCAGCGGGTCCCCTGGCTCCCCCCAAGCAGCCCCCAACGCTCACCCATTGAAGGACTCCAGTTTGGGCACTGCCATCTCCTCGGCCAGGTCCAGGCAGATGATCTGCGGGAGAGGGAGACACAGCTGAGCCCCTCCAGCCCCTCACCCCGCGGGCAGGGCTGATCCCTGCTCAGCCCTCCTGCATCCCCCTAGATCCCCACACACCCCTCACGCATCCCCAGCAGCCACTCACCACCTTCTCGGGGCAGTTCACGCGGGGGGTCTTCACCTGGACCTCGGTGGGCGCGGCGGGGCCGGGCCAGGCGGTGCCATCGGTGCCCTGGGGGCTGTGGTCGGCGCTGGCGGCCTCGCCCTCGCCCTCGCTGCGGTTGCCCACGCTGGCCTGGGCGCTCAGCGCCCGGTCCTCGGCGCCCTCGGGGTTGGAGCGCGTGCGGGGCCGCGGCTCGGGCGCCTTCTCCTCGTCCTCCTCGGCCGCGCTGCCCGGCTCCGACGTGTCCATCCCGCAGGGACTCGCCGGCGATCACGGGGGGCTGGGGAGGGGGGTCACGGTGCGGCTGGGACCCCGCAATGCCCTGGGCACCCCCTGCCCACTCCGTGCACCCCCTGCTCACTCCCCTCCTTGCCCACGCAGCCCTCTCCGTGTACCCTCTGCCCACGCACCCCGACCCTTAAACGCCCCCCACTCCATGCACCCCCTGCCCACTCCATGCACCCCCTACCCACGCCCCTCCCTGCCCACGCAGCCCCTGCCCCCAAACGCCCCCACCTCATGCACCCCCTGCCCACGCCCCCCTGCCCCTCAAACGCCCCCTACTCTGTGCACCCCTGCCCACGCACCTCCTGCCCCACGTACCCCCCAATCCCGTGTACCCCCACCCTGGCACCCTCCACGCCCCCTGCCCCACGCACGCCCCACCCCATGCCCTCCTGCCCACCCCTCGCTCCGTGCAACTCCCTTCCCCACGCACCTCCCAACTCCGCGCGCCCCCGACCCACGCACCCCTTATCCACGGACCCCCTGCCCCACGCACCCCCTCTCCTTCCGTGTACTCCCTTCCCACGGCCCCCCGCTCTACGGTCCCCCTGCTCACGCCCCCGTGCCCAGGTACCCCCGCATGGTGCCCCCCACCCCCGGTGCCCCCCACCCCACGCACCGCCGCTCCCGCGCCCCCGCGCCCCTCCCCGCGCTCACGCGCTCCGGCCCCGCCCGGTCCCGGCGGAAGCGGCGCCGCGCGGGGGCTGCCGGGAGTTGTAGTTCCGAGGAGTCCGGAGGCCACCGGGGAACAGCGACGAGACCCCCGCACCGCCCCGACCCCCGAACGCCGCCCAACCGAACCTCGAATACCCCCACATACACCCCGCGGCGCCCCGAATAGCCGTGTGCACCCCACTGCACCCCACACATCCCGTGCATCTCTCTGCAGCACTGCCTGCACCCCAAATCCTCATGCGCACCCTGCTGCACCCCTGCACCCTCCCTCTGCACCCCAAAATCCCCGTCCTCCATGCCTGCACCCCAAACACCCCCACAGTCCCCGTTGCACCCCAAAACCACCCTCCACCCTCCCACACTGCCCACAACACCCCTGGGTTGGCTCCCCCCAGCCCTACATCCCCAGCGCCTCCCCAGTGCCTCCCAGCACCCCAGATTGTCCTGCACCCCTCCAAAGTTTCAGGGTGTCCCCTAAACTCCAGGGATGCTCCAAGGCATGACGGTGGGAGCATCCTCCTGCCTGGGAGCGCGGGAGCACACGGGGGACCCGGGGGCTGGTGGGGGGTAGAGTGGGGAGGGGGCAGCTTTGGGGGGCAGAGCGCCCCAAAATAACTCTGCCCTCACCCCCGCACGGGGCAGCGTGGGGGTTAAGTGGAGGTGGCTGCGAGGAAGAGGAAATCTCGGCAGGAACAAGGACAGGGGAAGGCCAAGGGCAGCGGCCGGAGGCGCAGCCGGAACGTGCCGGAAGGTGTCGGAGCCTTGGCCGTGGGACTGGGACATCCTGGAAGCCCAGGGTGGAACTGGGACGTCCTGGGACCTGCGGCGTGGAACTGGGACGTGAGGGAGCCTCAGGGTGGTCCTGGGACGTACCAGGACCCCGGGTGTGGAATCAGGACATGCTGAGACCCCCGGGGTGGAACTGGGACGTACCGGGAGCACCGGCTGACCCAGGGCAGGAGGTGCCCAGGATGGAGAAGGCAAGTGGGGTGTGGGGTGTGCTGGGCACTTCCCGGGGCTGATCCCACACGGCCGGGGGGCTCCTCGTGGGATCCTCCCTCAGGCACCCCCTGGCCACAGGCCTGGTGCCGGGCTCTGGGGAGGAATTCCAGGCCTGGAGACCAATGGGCTGGTGGCCAAAACTCATCCCTATCCCAGGAAACCCCGGTGGGTGCCACCCCATCCAGCCCCGGTGCTGACTGGGGGACGGACACACCCCCCTGGTCCCTGCAGCCCCCACAGCTCCCACCCGGCGAGGATGAGGAGGAGGATGAAGAAGGGGATGAGGATGACGAGGAGGAGGAGGAGGAGGATGGTGATGAGGAGGACGTGGTGGGTGATGCCAAGGACATCCTGCACTACGAGGAGCGCATCGCCGGGCTGCTGGCCACGGTGGCCCGGCTGCACCGACGGGCAGAGCAGCTCCAGCGCCGCCCCAGCAGGTACCGGCACCGGCACTGGCACCTGGGGGACATGGGAGGGGCTGCCACCACATGGCCCCCCTTCATCTCTGCCCTTCATCGCCCCTCAGGGAGGGCGAGGAGGGCTGGGAGGGCACTGCCAGCCCCCCCGCTGCCAGCCCCACACCGCGGCGCCTCGACAGCACCGGCGCCGGGCAGGAAGGTGAGTGCTCAGTGCCACTGTGTGCTGTGCCACGTCCTTCCATGCCGTGCCACTCCTGATTCCCACTGTGCCCCCCATCCCCAGCCCCCTGCCCCGACCTCTTCGCTGACCTCCAGCACGCCGTGAGCTCCCTGGAACGCGCCGTCTTCTCCCGGCACCGGCGGCCGCCGGCACAGCCCGTGCCCAGCGAGGAGTGGGCGCGAGCGGCCAAGGTGGGGCTCACCAGCACCCCGGGCCTCGATGCCAAGGGGATGGGCACCCACTGAGCATCTCTGCACCCCCAGAGCCTGGAGGAGCTGAGCCGGGCACCGGGCTGGGCCAGGCGGGCGTGGCGGTGCCCGGCGGTGGCAGCGGGCCAGGAGCTGCCAGCGGAGGTGGCAGCGGCTCTGGCGAGGAACGCGGCGCTCCGGGCGGCCCTGGGGCGCCGGGATGAGGAGCTGGGACAGGCCACGGCCACACTGCGGGCGCTGCGGGGGGAGCGGGACCGCCTGCAGGGCAAGGTGGGTGCGGGGGGCACCGCATGGGGGGCACCGGGCACGACCCCCAGAGCTCAGCCTGGCACCTGGCACAGGTGCAGGACCTGCGGGACGCCCTGTCCAGGCTGGAGGAGCTGGGGGGCTCTGGAAGTGACACCCCCAGGGTCAGCAGCCCCCTGAGGCTGCACCAGGTGAGTGTGAAAGGGTCGAGACATGGATGGGGGGTGTTGGTGGGTGGGATCCTGCCCCAGGGCTGGGCTCTGCCTGTTCCCTCCACAGGATTTGCCCCGGTGTTGGGACAGTGCTCAGCCCCACGGGGTGCAGCCCCACAGGATCCAACCCCACAGGGTGCAGCCCCTCGGTTCCCAGCCCCACAGCCCCCTGTCCCCCCAGCCCTCGGTGGGTGCCAGCCGGGAGCAGGAGGAGCGGCTGCAGCAGCTGCAGGGGTGAGTCCCCCCCATCCCAGGGGCTCCTCACCGGCGGGGAAGCCGAGGCTGGCGTGGCCTGACCGCGGTGCCGGCCCTGCCCAGGTGCCTGGGGCGGCTGCAGGAGGTGAACCGGGAGCTGGCAGCCGCGCTGCAGGAGTGCAAGAGCGAGGCGGAAAGGCTGAGCATGGAGCTGGGACAGCACGAGTCCCGCAGCACCGCCCTGCGCCTGGCCCTGCGCTGCAGGTGGGGCCGCGTGGGACGGGAGGGGATGGGATGGGAGGGGAGGGCATGGCAGCAGGGTGGGCAGCAGGATGGGGACAGCCACACTGAGCCCCTCGTCCTGCAGCGAGCGCTGCGGGGGCGCTTATGCCGCCCTCCTGGACCTGCTGCAGGCAAAGACAGGACAGGAGGACGGTGCCTGTGGGGGTGAGTGACAGTTTGGGGGGGCTCCAGGGTGCTGGGGTTGCTGGGGGGTACTGGGGAGTTGTCAGGGAGGATGATGGGGGATACTGGGTGTGCTGGGGAAGACACTGAGGGGATACTGGGAGTGCCGGAGAGGATGCTGGGAGGATGTTAAGGGGATAATGGGGAGTTATCAGAGGGGATGCTGGGAGGATACTGGTGGTGCTGGGGAGGATCCTGAGGGCACACTGGGGAGTGATCAGCGAGGAGGCTGAAGGGATGCATGAGGGGTGTGTGGGGATTTGGCATGATGCAGGAGGGCCGAGCAGGAATACTGCTCCAAGGAGGGGGATGGGGAGGGTGCTGGGGGGCTGCAGGGAGGATGCTGGGGAGGGGGGATGCCCTGGAGAGGGGCACCTGCCCGCACACTGCCTGTTCCATGCCCAGGAGCTGTGGGAGAGCCGAGCCCGGGGCACGGGCAGGGGTCCAGCACTATGGCCATGGCAGGGCCGCAGCTCCCGGGCCCAGCAGAGCCGGACAGGCGGGAGGAGAGCGGGGCCAGCAGCTCCCCTGGAGCGCAGAGGTACCCGGAGGAGGGCGGGGGGCACGATGCTCGGCTGTCCCCGTGGTACCCCCGTGCCCACCCCAAGCACACCCCTATCCCGCAGCACTCCAGCGCCCCGGGGATGGAGGAGGGGGCGCTGCGGGAGCACATCCACCGGCTGCGCGCGGAGCAGGCGGCCGTGGAGGGGTCCCTGCTGGACACCCCAGCCCCCCCCGGGGTGACCCAACAGGGCCAGGACGCCAGGGCCCGGGCTGAGAGGGCGCTGCGGGAAGCCAGGGCGCTGCTGCCAGGCTGGAGGCGGCCCGAGAAGGCAGAGCTGCTGCAGGACCTGGCGATGCTCAAGGTGTGGGTTCTGGGGTTGGAGGGGGCCCGACGCCTGGATCCCTCCACGTGGGATGCAGGGTGGGAGCGGAGCGGGAGGGTGGTGACACCGCTGCCGTGCCAGGAGGCCATGGCTGAGCTGAGGACGCGGCTGCAGCTGGCGGAGAGGGAGAAGCGGGGCCTGGAGGTGCTGCTGGCCGGGCAGGGGCCGCGGGAGGCTGCCCTGCGCCTCGTGCTCCAGCACCTGGAGTGGGAGCGGGATGGGGGCACCCGCCGCCCCCCCAGCAGCTCCAGCAGCTCCAGCAGCAGCGAGGGGGTAAGGATGGCTCTGAGCCCCCTCCCCGGGGCTGGGGGTCTCCCCAGGGGTGGGACCCACACCCAACCCCTGCAGGATGCCCAGATTGGCCGGGTTGGAGCGGCGGCTCCGCGGAACCCTCCGGATCTGGAGAGGATGAGGGAAGAGCTGCTCCGCACCTCGGCCAGGTAAGAGACCTCGATGGTGTGAGCGGCGCCAGGGTGGGCGCTGTGAGGGGCTGGGCACTGGGCCAGACTGGGAATTGCGCTGGGATGGGCAGCGGGCACGGTGCAGGACTGGCTGCCATGCGCGTGTCCCCAGGACGGAGGAGCTGCGTGCCCGGGCACAGGAGCTGGTGCTGTCCCTGGAGCAGGGCAGTGCTGCCAGCCGAGCACAGCAGGCACAGAGCGTCACCGTCACCACGGACCTGTTCCAGGCGCACAGGTGGGCAGGGGGCACCTGCATCTCTGCTGGGTGGGCGTTGGGTGCAGCGTCTCCTGTGTCCCTTGGGTGCCCTGTGACCCCCGGGTGCCCCGGATCCCCTGGGTGCCCTATGTCCCCTCACTCCCCTGTGTCCCCTATGACCCCTGGATCCCCTTGGTCCCCTGGGTGCCCTGTGTCCCCCTGGATACCCTGGGTGTCCTGGATCCTCCGTGTCCCTTGGGGTCCCCTGAATCCCCTGGATCTTCTTGATCCCCTGGATATCCTGTTTCCCGTTGATCCCCTGAGTCCCCTGGGTCCCCTATGCCACCGCCTGGTTCCCCATGATCCCTGGGTGTCCTAAATCCCCTGGGTCCCCATATCCCCCATATCTCCCATGCCCCACCCCTGTCCCCCATGCCCTCCCTGTGCCCGGGCGGGTGCTGAGCGTGCCCCTCAGCGCCCTGGCCCTGGCGTACCGCGGTGCCCGGCGCAAGCAGGCGGCCCAGGCGCGGCGCCTGGAGGCGCAGGCGGGAGCCCTGCGCAGGCAACATTCCCGGCGGGAGCAGGCGCTGGCCCGCAGGCTGCACTCCCTGGAGCAGGGCCCGGCCGGCAGCGAGACCTGCATCTAGAGACCCCCAGGATCCCCCCATCTCTGCTCTGTACCCCCGCAATAATAAACCCTGCATGCTCGTGCTTTGGCGTTGGGGGGGGCTTGGAGCTCGGACGGGGCTCAGCTGCGGGACCCCCGGCTCGGCTCATCCCAGGGGGGCCGGGAACAAAGGGCACCCCCCTCCCTGCTGTCTCCCGGCACAGATGAAGCCATTTGGTTGTCCCTGCCGCGGGATCAAAGGTGACGGCAGTGGCCGTGGCGCGGGGCCCATCCATATTCAGGAGGAAGAGGAGCGGTGACCCCGCGCTGGGGCCATCCCGGCCGTGCAGGGGGGGCTCCGGGAGTGGGCTGTGCTAGGGGGGTGCTGAGGGGAGTGGGGGGGGGCTCAGCCCACCAGCCTGAGCCCCCTCCATCCCTATGCGAGGGATTGCATGGATAGTGGGATCAGGGCTGAGTGTGGGGTTTGGGGGGATGAACGGGAATGGTGCAGGGCTTGGATCCACCGAGGGGTGGAGGGAAACTGAGGCACGGAGCTGGAGATGGGCTGCAGTGAGGCCTGGATAGCCCTGGAGAGATCCTGCAGCGGAGTTCAAGGCTCCATGGATCAATATCTGGAGCTGTGGTGATGGAGAGGGCTGGGAGAGGGATGCAGGGATGCAGGGACACAGAGGTGCAGTTCTGCAGGAATGCGGAGCTGTGGGGATGCAGGGATGCAGGGATGCAGGGAGTCAGGGATGCAGAGCTGTGGGAATGCAGGTATTCAGGGTTGCAGAGCTGTGGGAATGCAGGTCAGGGATTCAGGGATATGGGGATGCAGGGACACAACTGCGGAGGGATATGGGGATGGAGGGATGTGGGGATGCAATGATGCAAGGATTTAGGGATTCAGGGCTGCAGGGATTCAGGGAGCAGGGATGCAGCTCATCCCCCCCGAGCTGCCCGTGCCCTCCACCCCCACCACTTCGCCGCTCTCTGAAATGGGGTCACCTCCGTGTCCCCAGGGGCGGCAGGGCTGGATCAAAGGACAGCTTCCCCAGGGAGCTGCCCCAGCATGAAATGAGCAGCAGAGCCCTGATTGGTGCCTAGCACAGGGGGTGGGTGCCCAGACCCGGATAGCGGAGCCAGGGGCTGCCTGTGCCCCCTGCTCCCAGTCCCTGCCTGCCCTGGGCACGGCCACAATGGGGACTGGGGCTGGGGGGGGTCCCGTGGGCCGGGGCTGGTGGTGTGGAGGGGCTGACCCGCAGGTTGAAGGTCAGGGCTCCGTGCTCAGACCCCTTTTCAGATTCAAATGGGCTCCCGGGGGCTTTGTGCAGGGTCAGGCTCCACCGAGAGCCGCATGAAAGGCGGGGGCAGCCGGGGCAGCCTCGACCCTGGGTGCCGGGAGGAGGGGGAGGGCAGGTGGGACCAGCCACTGTCCCCACCCCGCCCAGAGGGTCCCCCCTGCCACGTCCTGCTGACCCTGGGGCCAGGCCAGGGCTCCACATGCCTGTTGATGTTTGGTCCCACTCCCTGCCTCAGTTTCCCCTCCATGGAGCAGGAGAGGGGTCAGGTCACCCCCAGCCTTTCCACAGGGCTGGGGGCAAATCCATGGCATTGGAGGGGTGAAACCACCTCTCCATGGGGTGACATGGGGGGGTGAGAGCCCCTGTGTGCAGTGACCCCCACCCAAGGTTTGCACCCTCACAGGGATGGGGGCAGAGTGGGGCCTGAACAAGGGCTGAAAATCAGGGGACTGACCCCAAATCCCCATGTGGGGCTGCGTTGGGGTCAGGGGGGACAGACAGACAGAGGGACAGGGTGGTTCTACCCAAGCCCCCGGGAAGCACTGCCGCTGGCAGCTCCCACGTGGGCTTGGGAGAGGGAATGGCCACCCCACAGCCCAGAGTGGTGATAACTGCCATGAGGGGTTTTTGGGGCCGGGCTGGTGGTGGTGGTGTTGGCATCCGGCTCTGCAGCGCTGCTGGTTCCCACCTCTCCATCAGGGATGCCACCAGGCTCTCTGGTGCTGCTGGTTCCCACCTCTCCACCGGTGCTGGCACCCAGCAGTGCCACCAGCACCCAGCTCTCTGCCGGCACAGCCGCAAACCCAGCCCTGCCCCGCGCATTTTGGCAAGAACTCCTCCACCATCCCCCTGCCCGCGGGCCGTGGGGAGCGAGGGGGCACCGCCGCCCACCGTGCCCACGCTGCGGCCCGGTCCAACCACCGCGATTCCGGAAACCTCGGCGAGGCCTCCGCCGTGCCGGACCCTTCCCGGGGGCGCCGGGGCGGCACGAAACGCGCCGGCGGCTCCCGGGGGCCCTTTTGTGCGGCGGAGGCAGCGGAGCAGCGCGAGGAAGGAGGAATTCCTCCGGAGATCAAACGCCTTCGCCAACTGGACACCGACGTCAAAACAAACCGGCTCCCAGCGCGGGGCCGGGAGCCGCGCGGGGGACAAGATCCAATTTCCTCCTTTGTTCCTGGATTATTATTTTTTGCAGGGGGCGAGGAGGCGGGGGAGCGGCAGGGAAAGGGCCATAAATCACGGCCTGACAGAAGAGAAAGGAGAAGCGGGGCTGGCTGCAGGTGGGGGTGACCCCCCTGCCCGCACTGGGACCCCCACCCCCCGAGCCCGGCCCTGTTCCCAGCTGGCTCTGCCGGGTGTTATTCCATGACCACGGCAGCCCTGGGGCATTGGGGTCTTTCTGGGCACTGTGTCAGTGGGTACCTGCTGGGCAGAGACCCCCAAAGCCAGGAAAAACAGGGGGGTTGCATGGTTTATGGCCTAGTTACACACCACACCCCCCCTCGCTGCACCCCAGCTCCAGGCTCAGGGCTTTGCTTTGCCCTTCCCGTAACCTCAGCCCTGGCATGTGGGTTGGGAATGCCAAGGACACCGGCAGGAAGGTCCTGGTAGTGCTGGGTCCAGGCAGTGTGGGCACTCCCGGCCACTCCACACGGCACCAGCATCCTCACCGTGAGGCGGAGTGCCCCATGGGGACACCGGGGGGTCAGAGGTGCGAGGGGGCACCCGGTCCACCCCACCCCAGCTCCGTGCCCTGCCCGCCGGACTTTGTCCCTGGAAGTCAAGGTGAGCAGGTGCTGGGATTCACCGGGGCCGCCGTGGCATGGCCGGGAGGGGAGTTTGGCCCCGGGTGAAAGGCGGCGGCAGGGCGGTGGCAGGGGCTGCTCCGGGGTCAGGCACCTTTCCACAGGGTTTATCCCCTGGTTAATGATTTCCAGGGCGGCAGCAGGCGGGCGAGGAGCACCCAGCACCCACCGCCCGCACCTGGCCGGCTCCTACGGGTCCGACTGGATTAACCACATTGCAGACAGGCTTCATGGGGCCACAGGAGTCAGGCCTTGGCCACATCCAGCCCTTCTGCTCCCTGCCAGGGCTGGGGGCTCCCGAGGGACCCCGGGATCACCCCGCGGCCCCACACGAGCTGCGGCCTCGGTAATTAAAGATCCCGCTGGGGCTGTCGGCGAGAGGAGGGGATTGACGATGCCGACGGCTTGGCCACGGGCCAGGAGTAGTGGGGAACTGCTTCCCAGCTTCCCAGCATCCCGGCAACCCCGACGGCATCACACTGTGCCGCGACGCCGCAGCCCAGGTGGCCCTGCATGCCGGGCTCCCGGTGCCATGCTGGAATCCCAGAGCCATGCCAGGCTCCCAGTGGGATGTGGAGCTCCCAGTGCCACACTGAGCTCCTGGTCCAGTGTGGGGCTCCCAGTGCCACACTGGGCTCCTGGTCCAGTGTGGGGCTCCCAGAGCAATGCCAGACTCCCAGTTCTGTGCTGGGCTCCCAGTACCAACATCAGTTGTACAAGATCCCAGTTTGATGCTGGGATCCCAGTGCCATGCTGGGCTCCTGTTCCAGTGCCAGCCTCCCACCACAATCCCGGGCTCTCAGTGCAGCAGGAGGTGCCGAGCTCTCCCGGTGCCAGCCAAGGGCTCTGGTGCCCAAAATGCAGCGGGGGACCGGGAGGGGCCACATCCAGCCACCTCCGGTGGCCAAACCTCCAGCTCCATCACCACGGCACCGCACCGGGGCCATGCCCGGCTCTGCCACCGCCGGGACCGCCGGGACCACGGGCCCAGGGCGCCGGTTACGGCCCCGCCCGGGGCTGCGGGGCCGCGCGGGGCGCGAGGGGCGGCGGGGGCGGCCCGGTGCGGCGGCGGGGCCGGGACCGGGGCAGGACCCGGGAGCGGAAGGGGAGGAGGACGGGGAGGAGCATCCAGGGCGGCCACCGCGGCAGCGGCTGAACTTTGCTCTTTCACGGGAGGCGGGGAGAGCCCCGGGGCTCGGCGGAGCCGGTCCCGCCGCACCCGCACCCGCACCGGGACCGGGCTGCGTGCGGCGGCGGGGCCCGGGGGGGCGAGGGCGGGTCGGGGCAGCGCCGCCCCCTCCCTCCTCCTCCTCTCCTCTCCTCCTCCTCTCCTCCTCCTCCTTCCAGCCGGTGCCGCGGAGCGGAGGAGCCACCGGGGGCGGGAGCGGCCCCCGCATGCGGCCGGTCCCCGCGGGGGGATGCGCCGCGCCCCGCGCCCGCCGCCGCAAAGTTTCCGCGGGGTCCCCCCCGTTAACCGGGGCGGGGAGGAGGAGGAGGAGGAGAAATCGCTGGGATAAACGAATCCCTGGGCGAAAGGGATCCCGGCGATAGGGGAGGGCGAACCGAAAAAAAAAAAAAAAAGCCAAAAAAAAAAAAGAAAAAGAAAAAAGAAAATAACCGTGAAAATCCCAAACCGGCCGCCGCTCGACCAAAAAAAAAAAACCAAAAACAAAAACTTGCCGAACTCGTTTGCGGGAGGCACCGGGGCGGCTCCGCTCGATGCGGCGGCGGGGCCGGCGCTGAGCCCCGCGGCCGGTGCCGAGCCCCGCGGAGCCATGGCCATGGTGGCCGGCGGATGGGGAGAGCCCAACGGCGGCGGCGGCGGCGGCGGCGGCGGGGAGGAGGCGGCGTCCCCCGCGGGCGGCGGCAGCGACGCGGAGCACGGCGAGGAGGAGCGGGCCGGGGCCGCCGTGGACTGCGTGGTGTGCGGGGACAAGTCCAGCGGGAAGCACTACGGGGTCTTCACCTGCGAGGGCTGCAAGAGCTTCTTCAAGCGCAGCATCCGCAGGAACCTCAGCTACACCTGCAGGTACCGGGGGGTTTTGGGGGCGCCTGGGGAGGGGGGGTCGTCGTCCCCGTCCCCTTCCTGGGGTAGGGCAGCGGCGCGGTGGCGGGTCGGAGGGTGGTCGCCGGTGGCACCGGTGCGGGTCACTGGTGTGGCTCTGCAGTGGCCTCTGCGCTGGCCCTGCTGTGGCTGCGTGGTGGCCTCGCTGCAGCAGGAACGGGGGCACCGGTGTGGCCGGACAGGGGGCCCTGGTACAGGGTGGGGGTCCCCGGGTACAATCGGTGGCCCACAGTGCAGCACAGGGTGCCCGGTACGGCTCGGGGGTCCCCGGAGCAGCACCGAGGTTCCCCCTCGGTACAGCCCTGGCGTCTCCCGGCAGAGCACAGGCGTCTCCTGGTGCAGCACGAGGGTCCTCCCAGTAAAGCACAGATGACCTCCCCCAGTCCAGCACAGTGGCCCCCCAGTGTAGCACAGGGGTCTCTGGTGTAGCACAGGGATCCCCTCCAGGATGGCACAGTGTCCCCCAGTATGGCACAGGGATCCACTGGAGCAGCATAGGGGTCCCTTCCAGTACAGCACAGGGATCCCCTGGAGCTGCACAGGGATCATCTCCAGTACAGTACAGTGTCCCCCCAGTACAGCACAGGGATCCCCCCAGGACATCTCAGTGTCCCCCCAGCACAGTGCCGGGGCCCCTCCGTGCCCTTCACCCCACACCAGCAGCCCCCTGGCCCTTGGGCTGCGTGTGCTGCGTTCCCTGTTCCCGGGGCCCTCGGGCACAGCCGGTGTCCGGATCCTCGTCATCCTCGCCCGCCGCTGCTCCGGCATTAATTGTGCCCGTGAGTCACTCCGGTCACGGCCGCTGCCCCCGCACAACGCGCCGGGCGGCGGCAGGACCGATCCGGCCGGAGGTGCCGGGAGCTCGGGCACGGATCCGTTGGGATGCCGGGAACAGGGATCCGCTGGGATGCCCGGGTGAGGGGCTGCATCCTCTGCCAGCCCCCCCTCCAAGTGCTGCTGCAGATCCAGGCCCGCCAGCAGGACCAGGATATGACCCCTGGCAAGTTGGGAGCTGCCAATAACTCCGGAGTTTCTTGGGCTCGGAACAAGGATGGGGCTGGCTGGCCCTTGGAGGGGAGACCCCCGCTTCAGGCTGCTCCCAGAGAGGGAAATACCTCCACAGGGGCTGGATCCGAGCGCTTCCAGCGGCATTCTCCAAACCAGTGGGAGTGCTGCAAGGATGGCACTGCCACCCCATCCACAGGCATCCCTCACCCACGGGGCACCCCATCTCCACCCCCCGCTCTTTGCTTTCCCGGGGAGGGTCGGATGCTTCGAGGGAAGGGAAGGGAATTGTCTGGGAGCCGCTTTGCTCCCGTTTGGGCGGCCTAGATTTGTCCTCCCCCGTGCGCAGCGGCTCCGCTCCCGGCAGCTCCCGGCAGCTCCCGGCAGCTCCCGGCTCCGGGCCCAGCTGACGTCAGCCAGGCAGCTCGTGGCCGTGGCGTGGGGCCCCCCAGGCTGGCGGTGTGGGGCAGGGGTCGCTTCCCGTGTCCCCGCACCCCTGAGCGTGTCCCGTCGCCCGCCCCGCGGAGGCGGCGCGTGCGGCCGCAAAGCCCCGGCCCTGCCTCAGTTTCCCCCCTGGAGCAGCAGGGTCCGCTCAGCTCGGGATTAATGATTCGAAGATGGGGAATACAGATGGCTTTTGAGAAATTCCAGCTTCCCGGAACAAAGGGAAGGCCGAACCGGCTCCCTGGGAGACGGACGGACGCTGCATCCCAGATGTCGGGGTGACGGGACTCGGATCCCCCAAGACTTTTATCCCGCCCCTGTCCCTGGTATCTGGGCTCCCACTTGTGATGTTTGGGGTTTGGTTTTTTTTGGGTGGGGTTTTTTTCCCCTTTTTTTTTGTGCTGGGAAGTGATTTGGAGCAATAGAGAAACTGTTGGTTTTCCAAGTGGGGAGTGAAGTGTCGGAGGGGCCGGGAACAAAGCTCCCCCGGCAGCCCCGGCATCCGCTTTGTTCCGGAGTCAAAAGCGGCACCGAGCCCCGATGGCGCTAATTTGAATATTAAAAGTGAGTTGGATTCAGTTTAGTTCTTGCACTAAATAATTACCCGCTCTAATTACATAATTAGCACAGTCGACGCCTTTTGTAGCCTCGAAGTTTCCCAGGTCGCTGCTGCCTTTTCCATTGGAAAACTCCTTAGGAGCTGCTGGCAGGAGCTGAGGTGGTTTTTGGGGAGGTTTTCCTGGTGCCCTGAGGTCGTGGTGAGGGGGCAGCCAGGTGGGTTTGGCCACTGGGAGGGAGCCAAGACGATTTTTGGGGGGGTTTTCCAGTGGAAATCCCTGCCTGTCTCGCCTCTGGAGCCGTGTGGGAATTGTGGAGATTCACATCAGGGTTCCAGCCAGGTGGGTTTGTCCATGGGAAAGGAGCTGAGGTGATTTTGGGGGGTTTTCCCAGGCCCTGAGGCTGAGTAAGGGGCAGCCAGGCCAGTTTGTCCATTGAAAACCTTGTTAGGAGCTACTGGCAGGAGCTGAGATGATTTTTGGGAGGTTTTCCCGGTGCCTTGAGGCTGTGGTGAGGGACAGCCAGGTGGGTTTATCTGTTGGAAAGGATCTGAGATGATTTTTGGGAGGGGTTCCTCTTTCCTCCTACCCCAAGGCCACAGTGAGGGTCAACCAGAAGGGTTTATTTGTTTCAAGGGAGCTGAGATGATTTTTGGGGGGTTTTCCTGGTACCCCAAGACCTTGTTGAGAGTCATCCAGGCAAGTTTATTCATTTGAAGGGAGCCAAAATGATTTTTGGGGGGCTTTTCCCTGTGCCCTGAGGCCCAGGGAAACTGCCAACAGGCAGTTTCGTCCACTGGAAAGGATCTGAGATGATTTTTTGGGGCCTTTCCCGGTGCCCCAAGGCCATGGTGATGGTCAGCCTGGTGGGTTTTGTCAATTGGAAAGGGCCTGCAATGATTCTGGGGGGGGGTTCCCAGTGCCTTGAGGTCGCAGTGAGGGTCAAACCGATGGAGTTTTATTCACTTGCAGGCAGCCAGAATTATTTTTGGGGGTGGGGGGGCTTTTCCCGAGGGCGGTGCAGGCGGGGCTGTCCGCTGGGAAGGCGCTGGGATGGCTCCTGGGAGGATTGTGCCGGCGCTGGGTCCCGGCAGCCGGAGATGAAGTTGTCACCCGCCGCCTTGATTAGTTATCGCTCCTCCGCCGGCACAAGTTTTTATCGGGAGCACGTTCCGGAGCGCAGCGGTGATGTTCGGGATGAATTAATTCCGGTTGGAGCGCCGTGGGAATCCCTGCCTGCCTCGCCTCTGGAGCCGTGTAGGGATTGAGGAGATTCGTGTCAGGATTCCCGGGCAGAGCCGAGCTTGCCGCTGGACGATTCCCGGCCCTGCCTCCTGCTTTATCCGCTTTAATTTATCCCAGATTCCCTGCTCCCACCCCTTCCCCCCCCAACCCCTCCTGGTTTTGCTGCTGGGGTGGGATGTGAGTATCAGTGTCTTCCCTCTCTGATCCCTGGGAACGGGGGCTGGGGGGGTTTGGGTGCAGATAATTCCATTTGGGAATGGAATTGCTCCCCAGCTCAGCAGCTGCTCCTGGGGATGGCTGGTGGTGGCTGGAACTCCGAGCTCAGGGATGAATCCACATGCCAGGGGTGGGCACAGCCCCCTTCCAGGCTCTCAGGGGCTTTGGGGAGGGGGAACATCCCTCTGTCCCAGCTGGGGGATGTGTCCCCCTCCTCTGGGGACACGGGGACAGCGGTGCCTGAGGGGTAGTGGGATCAGCACCGCCCCAGCCCCGTAGGAAATAGTTGAAATTCCTCGAAATTCCTGGCGTGTCTGGTGGGCAGGCAGGGAGCTGCTGACATGGGACACCGCTCCCTGGCTCTTCATGTCCCCAGGGACTGGAGCCTGGGGGTCTTCCCAGCTTCCCAACAGCCTCAGGCAGCACTGGCAGCAGGATCCGGAGGAAAATGTAGGAAATGGCTGTTTCCATAGAATCAGAGCACCAGCAGCGAGGGGAAGGGCCGTGACCCAGGGCAGTGGGAAGGGGGTGCTGGAGGAGCTTGGGGGGGGTTCAGGAGCTTGGGGGAGGGGGTCACTCCTTCTTGGCCCCTCACCTGCTCCCGACCCTTCCTGCAGATCCAACCGGGACTGCCAGATCGACCAGCACCACCGCAACCAATGCCAGTACTGCCGCCTCAAGAAGTGCTTCCGTGTGGGAATGAGGAAGGAAGGTAACAGGCACAGGGGTGGGGGCACTTCCCAGGGTGGCCTGGGAATCCCTGGGATCCCTGTTTCCAGCAAACCCCCCTCTTTGCCCCCTTTTTTTTGGTGGTTTTTGGTTTTACCTCTTCCCGTCACCCCCCTCCCTGTGCCGGCAGCGCAGGTGGCTTTTGTTTGGAAAAGCCTTGGGCTGATAAGGAAACACACCTGGAGCAGGGATCACCTGCTGGGATGGACTCCTGGATCCCAGCAAATCCCACAGGCTGCTTTCCCCCCCCTGCTCCCCGTCACCTGGGGGGCTGCAAACCCCAAAATGCTTCTGCATCCAGGATGATCCCGAAAATCTCAGGTTTATCCCCAAAAATGTCCAATCCCTGTGGCTGGGGCTGTGCCAAGACAGGGAGGGAGATGCTGTGGCCGCTCCATGGCAAGTGGCATTGGTACAGGGAGGAACAGGGGACGGATGCTGGAAGCAGGACAGTAATTCCCTCTTTTCCAGAGGAGTCGGGATGGCATTATTGCCACTTAGCATGATTTAGAGCTCTCATTTAAGTGCCTCATGAACAGCCCATAAATTAATTACCAGGGATTGAGCAAATACTGGGCACTAATGGGGGCGAGGGGGGAGCCAAAAAATGGCTCTTCCTGCCTGCAATTAGGAGTGGGAGCTCCGGGGTAACGGCGCTTCCAAGGAGGGCGTTTTGTGTGGAAATAAATGATTCCTGCCATGGAATGACCTTGGGCAGTGACTGCAGCCGGTGTGGGGGGCTGTGGTGCCAGCTGGGCACCCAGCCTGGCGTGCCTGGGGTCAGGGATGCTGGTGGAAGCTGATGGATCACCAGGATCTTAAATGGATGAGTGTGGCTCCCTCTCCCTGAGTGCCTCAAAGCTGCTCCTCATCCCTTGGGATGGCAGGATGTGGCTCTGCTGAGGATGTTGGGTGGGTGGTGGGAGCATCCCCATGGCAGGATATGGCCCTGCTGGGGTTGTCAGGATGGTGGGAGCATCCTTGTGGCAGGATAAGGCTATGCTGGGAATGCTGGGCAGGTGGTGGGAGCATCCCCGTGACAGGATATGGCCCTGCTGGGGATGTCAGGATGGTGGGAGCATCCTTGTGGCAGGATAGGAGGATGCTGGGGGTGTCAGGATGAATGGTGGGAGCATCCTTGTGGCAGGATAGGGGGATGCTGGGGGTGTCAGGAATGTCCCTGTGGCAGGGTATGGGGATGCTGAGTGGGTGGCTGGTGGGAGCACCCCCATCCTTCCTGTGGGCACTGGGAATGCCGGGAGCTGGGGTTTGTCCAGGCAGGACCCAGCTCCCTCCTCTCGCCCCACAGCCGTGCAGCGGGGCCGGATCCCCCCGAGCCACTCCAGCACCAGCCCCAACACCATCCCCAGCGGGGAATACTTCAACGGGCAGCCGGTGTCGGAGCTCATCTCGCAGCTGCTGCGGGCTGAGCCCTACCCGGCCGCCCGCTACGGCTCCCAGTACGCGCAGCAGGGCAGCGTGATGGGCATCGACAACATCTGCGAGCTGGCCGCCCGCCTGCTCTTCAGCACCGTGGAGTGGGCCCGCAACATCCCCTTCTTCCCGGAGCTGCCCGTGTCCGACCAAGTGGCGCTGCTGCGGCTCAGCTGGAGCGAGCTGTTCGTGCTGAACGCGGCGCAGTCGGCGCTGCCGCTCCACATGGCCCCGCTGCTGGCGGCCGCCGGCTTCCACGCCTCGCCCATGTCCGCCGACCGCGTCGTCTCCTTCATGGACCAGATCCGCATCTTCCAGGACCAGGTGGAGAAGCTCAACCGGCTCCAGGTGGACTCGGCCGAGTACAGCTGCCTCAAAGCCATCGCGCTCTTCACGCCCGGTACGTCGCTGGCACCGGGGGTGGGGGGGACCAGGGAGGGGGTGTCCACTGTTTCCCCAGGGGTTGGGGTCCAGGGAGTGTCTGGAGAGGGCAGAAGGTCCTCATTCCCTGGTCTTTTCCCCCGTGACTTCTCTGGGGTTGACTCAGGGATGAACTTCCCAGGGCAGTGGGGACAGGACCTGTAGGAACACAGATACCCTCAGGGAAACGGAGGGGGATCTTGGGGAGCCCCAACCCTTGGCCCATCCGTGCTCTTCCCATGCCACAGAGGTGGTTTTGGGGTCCAGGGAGCATCCAGAGATGGCAGAGGGGTCCCCATTCCCTGGCACTTCACCGCTGTGGGTTTTGTCACTCCGGCGCGTCCATCTGGGTGCAGGGACAAGCATTCCCTGGGAGCGAGACCTGCAGGAATGCAGATCCCCCCCGGAGAAAACTATGAGGGTCTCACCCCTCGCTCACCCATGGAGTTGCCCTGTCCTTGCCAGTGCAACCCCTCCGAGAATTCAGGGCGTTGGGGGCTCCCCGGGGGTCTCAGGGCCCCTCCAACCGGTGCTCCCCGTTGTCTCCGCAGATGCCTGCGGGCTGTCGGACCCGGCGCACGTGGAGAGCCTGCAGGAGAAGGCGCAGGTGGCCCTGACGGAGTACGTGCGCTCCCAGTACCCGTCCCAGCCCCAGCGCTTCGGGCGGCTGCTCCTGCGGCTCCCGGCGCTCCGGGCCGTGCCCGCCGCCCTCATCTCCCAGCTCTTCTTCATGAGGCTGGTGGGCAAGACGCCCATCGAGACGCTAATCAGGGACATGCTGCTGTCCGGGAGCACCTTCAACTGGCCCTACGGGACGGGGCAGTAGGGACGGAGCGCGGGGGGGACGATCCCGGGACCGCCCCCCCGGCAGCTGGACGTGGACTCGTTCCCATGGTGTCCCTGGGGTGTTCTGTGCTGGGCCTCGGCCTCAGAGCTCTGTCTGCCACAGGAGGGGGCCCTGCTCCCCGCAGAGGCTGTGGGGTCACGGGGGTGTCCCCCGAAACCTGAAGGTACTCTCCGTGTCGCCGCCGATGGACACCGGACTGTTCTGGACCCCCTGGAGCTTCCCAGCCCCGCCCTAGTCCCTCCAGGGACTTTGGAGCAAACCTGGGGCTGGTTCCTCTCCCCGCTGTGGAATTTGGAGCATCCCAAGGGACCTCGGAGCACCCCCGGGGCTGGTCCCTCCCTCTGCCCAGGGAAGGGGGATCCCACCCCCTCTGCTCCTCCAAAGCTGAATTTCAGATGTCAGAAGGCTCAGGTGGGAGGTGGTGGGAGAGGGGACCAGCCAGGCTGGGACCCCTGGCTCTATCTCCCCACCCCAGCTCCAGTTCTGGGAATTGTGGAAAAAGGGTCATTTTAGAGCCCCTTTGTGCCCACCAGGCTGGATCCAGCCTTGAGGACTGATGGGCTGAGCTCGGAGCAGCCCCTTTTTGGGGATGGGGCCTGACCCCACCTTCCACTGAAGCATCTCCCCCGTGGGGGCACTGGGACAGAAGGGGGGGTCACAGGAGGGGCTGGGGGGGTTTTTTGGGATGTGAACAGCACCCAGCCCTTCTCCCTGGGCTCATTCCTGCTGCCTCCCTTACTGCTTTCCGCCCCCCTCAGCACCCCCCACCATCCCATGCCTCCCTGGGTTTTTTTCAGCCACGTTTGGGCAAGAAAGGAGATTTTGGGGGGACCAAAACCCAAAGGGGAAAGGGGTGATGCTGCTGGGGGGGGTCCCCAGGGCTGGAGGGGGCACATGGAAGGCGGGGGCGGGCAGAGCCAGGCAGGAGGGATCGGGGGGTCCCCCCCTCTCGGTGTGACAGACGGCGGCAGGATTAGCCGGGATTTGGCATTTAGGTTGATTCACTGAAAATATAATCCTTGTTCAATGATACTAAACAAATGAATTAAGTCAATAAAAGATGTTTCTTACAGCCCCGGGGGGGGTTTGGTGTGAGCAGGGATTTGCGGGGGGGATGGTGGAGCCAAATTTGGGACGTGATCCCAGCCCCAAAAAATGGAACCCCTATAAAACACCTAAAATTGGATGTTTTGTGGGTAATCCGGGGATTTGGGGAGGGGGGGCTCCAGGGTGATGGTTTATAACAAGGAAGGGGGGGGTCATTTGGGAATAAATCCTGCTGAGGAAGAGCTGGATCAGCAGGATGGAGGGGAGGAGTCAGCACAGAGGTTGGGATTGGGGCTTTTGGGGTGGGGGGAGGGTTGGGGTGGTTGGGGTCCCCCTTTCCAGGTGGGAGGAGTCACTTCATCCACCCCCTCAAGCCCCTTTCACACCGACCCCAATTTAAAATCAATAGATACACTTCATTTATTTAAAAAAAAAATTGAAATATTACACAGTTTCAAAGAGTTCCTTATAAAATATCACCAGGGGGGTCCTCAAAGGGGTTCTTCCCACCCCCCTCCCCAAATCCCTGGGGAGCTCAACCAAGGTGTTCTCTGCACCCCCCCCCAGCCATGGTTTGGTACCCCAACCCCTGTGAAGGCACCCAGGGGGGTGCAGACCCCCCCAAAAAAAACATACTTACAGGAGTGGGAGGAGACCCCCAGGATGGGAAGGCACTGAGGGGAGGCACTCACAGGGTGGGGGGAACACGGGGTGGTGGGGAGGAGGGGGGGGTCACACCAGCAGCTGCCTCCAGCCCCCCCAGCCTTGGCACCGGGGCGGTTTTGGGGGGATTTTAATACAAACAAAAGGCACAAAATGCCCCAAAGTCTTTGCAGAGAGGGTGGGGGGGAGCAGAGGCCTCCCCCCTGTGCCCCTCTTTCCACGGGGGTGGGGGGCTCAGGTCACCCCCGGACCTTGTCGTAGTCGCTCACCATCCGCTTGATGTGGAAGAGTTTGTTGCGGAGGGTTTTGGTCTCCAGCTTCTTGCTCTGGTAGTCGGGGCTCTGAAAGGCAGCAGGGGACTGGCATCAGGGCTGGGGGGCACGGGGAGGCAGGGAAACCCCCCCTCCAGCTGTGTAACACCCCCCCCCACCCCACCCCAGCTCACCCTCTTGAGGTCCTTGAGCCTGTTGTACTCCTCGGCCAGGTCCTGTGGAGGGAAGGGCACCAGGGGGGTCACAGCAGGGCAAAAGTGCTGCCCTGTGCTGTCCCTGGTGTCCTGCAGCATCCTGAGGTTCCGCAGCATCCATCCATCCCAAATCCTCCCCAGCATTCCCCCTGCCCAGGAGTGGCATCCCAAGGCTCGCCAACATCCGCCTCTGCTGCCCTGCAGCATCCCAGATCCTCAACACCCATCCCCAGCATACTGCAGCATCCCAAATCCTCCATCCCAGATCCTCAACACCCATCCCCAGCGTCCTGCAGCACCCCAAATCCTCCATCCCAGATCCTCAACACCCATCCCCAGCATCCTGCAGCATCCCAGATCCTCTGCAGAAATCACCCCCACTGCCCTGCAGCATTCCCCAGGCTCCCCCACCACCCATCCCAGCGTTCCCACAGCTCCCAGCGCGGCCCCCCCACCTGGTACTGGGGGCTGTCCTCAGGGACACTGTCCAGCTGCTTCCCCAGCTGGCCGAGGCGGTCGTTGATGGCGTCCATGTCGGCGCAGAGCTCCTTGTAGCGCCTCAGGTCCGAGTCGAACTCCTGCTTGTACCTCTGCCGCGTCGCGTCCGAGGAGATCGGGGGGTACAGGCTGGGGGGGGGGCGCACGGTGAGTCCCCCCAGGGGTGGCTCCAGCTGCGGGGGGGTGCTCAGGGGGGCTCCCCCAGCTCACCTGGCCCACTGGTCACGGTCCCGCTCGTCCCCGGACTCCACGGCCGTGGTGTAATCGGTCTCGTACTGGGACTCGTCCAGCTCCGGGTTCCGCCGGCGCCGGCGCCCGCGGCGCGTGGGGGGCTTGGGGGGCTGCTCCCGGCCCTTCCCCTCCGCGGGGCTGGGCTCCTGCTCTGGGGGGTCACTGCAGGGGACACAAGGGGGGGTCACAGAGGGGACAAACACCCAGCCCCCCCTGCCCTGGGGGTCCCTGCAGGATGACGGAGGGGACGGACGCGCAGCCCCCCCGGCCCTGCCCGCACTCACCCGTGGGTGCTGTAGGTGCCCGAGGGGTAGTAGCCATTTGGGGGGGGGCTGTAGGACGGGGGGCTGTAGGGGGGCGCGGTGATGGGGCTCGTGGGCTTCTCCGAGTAGGCCAGAGTGGCCGTCTCGTCCTGGGCGCTGGCCCCGTCCGTCACGTTCTTCACCTGCAGCAGGGACGGGGGTTCAGGGGGGGCTGGGCTCGGGGGACACTCCCCAGCCCCCCCAGCAGGGCCCAGGGGGGACACAGGGACAGAGGGGACACCGGTGTCTGTCCCGTGTGACAGATCCATGATGATGAGGCATTGTTGGCCCCCTCGGGACCCCCCAGAATCCTCCAGGGACCCCTAAAAACCCCACCAGCTGCTGCAGGAGCTCTTTGAGGGGCAGATCCAGGATGGCAAAGGACTGACATTCCCTGGGAACCCCCAAACCCCACCAGTGGGTGCGGGACCTTGTCAGGGGGCAGTCCCAGGAGCAGTGGGGACACAGGGCAGTCAGGAGAACCCCAAAACCCTTCCAGAATCCAGGGATGAGCCCTGGCAGAGCTGCAGTGGGGTGTCCCACATGGCTGTGGGGGAAAAAGGGACGAGGGGAGGGCCCCCTGGTGGGCATTTGGGGAGGGGGAGGCTGGAGAAGGACCCACAGATCCCCAAGCCCCCATGGGGTGGAGTGGGGTCCCACTGGGGGACAAGAACAGACAGACACAGCTCGGGGGGGCTCTGACACCCCCAGGGTGACACCTCAGGGGCTTTGGGGGCGTTCCTGGCCCCCCATCCAGCACTGCCCCACCCTGGACCCCCATCACCCCCCGGCACGGCCAGGGCTCCTCCAGGAGGACGTGGGGCGTCCGTCTGTCCCCCCTCCCGCTTCCTTCCTGGCCTTTGTGGGTTGTTTGTGCCGGAAGCCGGTCCCTGCCGGGATGGGGGCCCTGGGGACATCCGGCCGCTCACGCCGCTTCCGACGGCACCTTCCCCCCCACTAACGAAGCCACGGCTAATTGGGGGCCGCCAGGTGAGGGGGCCACCGGCGTGGGGACAGCCGTGTCCCCCGGGCCACGCCGGGGCGGCAGCGGAGCCGCGCGGTGCCTCCCGCCCGCTCGAAGGTCACCCCGTTATCTCAGCCCCATAAACCGGGAACGGGATGTCCCAGGAGGGGATCACACCCCGAAACCTCACCCGGGGGTGACCTCACGGTGTCACCGAGCCAAGAAGGACCCTCCCCCACCAAGGGACCCCGGGGAATGGGGGCCCTGTGTCCCAGAGGGGCAGGAAATGCTTTGCAAGGGAGGGACTTTAACCAAATAAATAAAACCCCAACAAAGGGATTTCTGAGAAATGAAAAATAAATATTAGACTTGCAGGCGAGGGTGAGGCGTGGGGACGTGGAGAGAGGAATGGGGACATGAGGGACAGGGAGAAAGACGTGAGGGGATGCAGACATGGAACAAAACCTGGGGGGACACCAGCACCTCTGCACATTCCCAGTCCTCCTTCCCTGCGGGATGCTGCAGCCATTCCTGAACCCTCCCCAGGCTCAGGGAGCTGCAGAGCCAGGGCAGGACAGGGCACATCCCAGGGCCAGCAACAGGGGGGGTCCCCAACACCCCCACCGTGGGGACACGGGCTCAGGGAAGCCGTAAATCCCTCGGCTTCCTGGTGGCACATCCCCACAGAGCCGGGTTAATCATTGCCCAGACCGAAACCACGCGGTGTGGCCGGGCAGTGTCCCCTGGCAGTGTCCCCTGGCAGTGTCCCCTGGCTGCTGTTTTGGGCACTGTCCCGTGGCCAGCGAAGGGGCCAGGACCTGGCCAGCACTCCAGCACCGAGCCCCTGGCCCCCAGCCCATCAGATCCCACCCTGTTTGCCGTGCAGCGAGTCCCAGAGCAGCTCGCCCAGTCTGGCACGCCGGGAAAGGCTGTGCCAGGGAATGGCAAAGGCTGGGAAAACACGGGGTGACAGGGAGGGACACGGCGGGTGCCGGGCACGGTGAGGCTGTGGGGGTGATAACGGGGTGTGCAAACACACCAGGACTGGGCTCTGGGGTGCCAGGTTGGGCAAGAGGAAGGGTCCCCCCACAGCCCTGGGGTCCCTACAGAGCCCCGCGGTCCCCACACCCTCCCTGTGCTCACCCCTGCACATCCCAACCCACCCCTGCCTTGGGAATGTCCAGCACAGGGCAGGCAGGGAGGAAGCTCACAGGGAGTCCCCCCTCACCCAGCCCACCTCAGACTCACCCACTCCTCCACGTTGGGACCCTCCTGGACCACTGGCACCTTGTCCCAGTAGATGTTTGGTTTTCCGTATTTCCAGATCTTGCTCCGCGTCTTGTGAGCGAAGAAGCAGATGAGGCAGAGGAGGATGACGATGAGGAACCCGCAGACGATGGCCACGGCCTGGAGGGGAGGAGGCAGGGGGCTCTCAGGGTGGGGGTCACAGGGGCTGGGTCCCCTGCATCGCCCTGGGATGAGCAGGAATTGCTCCCTTCATCCCCAAATCCTCCCAGTGTTGGACTCCCACCAGGGCATGGGGAGAGGGGCAGGGGCCACCCATCCCAGGATGGAGCCCATCAGGGGTTCCAGAGGTTTAGGGGCCAGGTCAAGCAATGGAGGGTGGTTTATTTTCCCATGGGGACAGGACAAGTTTGTGATTTGGGAAGCAGCATGGAGCTGGCACCCTCCAGCACCTCCACGCAGCACCCTGACCCCACCACCCGCTCAGCCACGCGCCAGCTCCCTCACCAGGCATCCCAAACAGCTTCCAGGAACCAGATCCCTGCAGCCACACAGAAACCCGCGTGGATCAGGCCCTGCTTGGCCTTGGCAGGGAGCAGGAGCAGCCGGGGCCGGGCTCAGGAATGCGGCATGGCCGGCACGGCCGGATGGGAACCGGCAGCGCCGGTCCAGCACATGTGCCACCAGCAGGAGCCCCGGGGCTGGGGACGGGGCTGGGGCTGGGGGCTGGGGGCTCTGCCTGCCCCACGGACCCCTCTGAGTCCCGAGCCGGGTTGCTGGCACCAGCAGTGCCCAGCTGGCACCCTGACCCCTCCCAGCCCTGCAGTGTCCCGGTCCTGTTCCGGCACTTTTACAGCCAGAGAGAACAAAGGTCCAGAAACTGGGTCTGTGTCGGGATGACAGCCCGTCCCCTCCCCGAAACTCCCGGCGCAGGCAGAGGGATCACTCCGGTTCCTCCTGCACCCCTGCATTGCCCCAGCCCTTCCCACAGCCCTGGATCACCCCAATTTCCCCTACAGCCCCAGCTCAACCCAATTCCCACAGCCCTGGATCATCCCAATTCCTCCCACACTCCTGGATCACCACGATTCCTTCCTCAGTCCCAGCTCATCCTGGTTCTCCCCAGTTCCTCCCGCATCCCTGGATCACCCCGACTCCTCCTGCAGTCTCAGCTCATCCTGGTTCCTCCCACAGCTCTGGATCACCCCATTCCTCCCACAGACCCAGATAATCCTGGTTCTTCCCACAGCCCTGGATCACCCCATTCCTCCCACAGCCCCAGCTCATCCTGGTTCCCCCCCTGCAGCCTCGGCTCATCCCAGCTCCTCCTGCAGCCCTGGATCACTTCCCCCAGTTGCTCCTACACGCCCAGATTATCCCAGTTCCTCCCACAGCCCCAGATCACCCCAAACTCACTAAAGACAGCGGGAAAACGCCAAGGGCAGGACGTGGTCACCAACCGTGGTCCCCAACCCTCTCCCTCCCCACCCCGCACCCCGTGGGACGCAGTCGCAAAGGGGTCTGTGCCCAGAGCCAGGCAGGGGGGCCCTGCCAGAGCTGGGGCTGCCCCCTCACCTCCTGGGGGTCCACGGTGCAGTAGTGGTACAGGTACTGGTTGAGGTAGGTGCTGCCACTGTAGATCTGGCTGCAGATGGTCAGCAGGGGGTTGTAGTAGTAACTGCCCGTCATCTGCGCCTGGGGGTTGACACCCACCACGTAGACGATGGAGGCGATGAGCATGGCCAGGGCCAGCACGGCGCTCACCACCAGCACCACCAGGTAGAAGCGGCGCGAGCGGGAGCCGCTGGACTTGCTGACGCTGGCCACGAAGAGCCCCAGCTGGGCCAGGAAGCAGAGCACGGCCATGGCGATCATGAAGCCGTTGGCCGTCCGCGGGTTGGTGACGCCGCCATAGTACCCCCCGTAGCCGTACCCGTAGTTCAGCCCGCTGCCGTAGTAGCCGGAGCCGTAGAAGCCCCCCAGGCCGCTGCCGTAGAGCCCCCCGAATCCGTAGCCGTACTCCCAGGCCAGGGTGGAGGCCACGCAGGCGAAGATGGCGATGCAGAGCAGGATGATCGTGGCCTCCAGGATCCTCACCACGCCGGGCGGCGACGACCACTTGTAGAAGTGCTGCGGCACGTCCTCGATGTAGTAGGAGCCCGGCGGGGGCGAGCGGGCGCCGTAGTCGTAGCCGTAGTCGCCCGTGGGGGCCCCGTAGCCCGTGGGGGGGCCGTAGTTGGTGGGGGGGCCATAACCAGTCGGGGGGCTGTCGTAGGACTTCTTGCTGAACATGGTGGCGGAGCCTGGGGGGACACAGACGGGCAGAGAGTCGGAGCCGGTCGAGCACCAGGAGGTGCCGGCACCGGCGCGAGGCAGAACCGCCGCGTTTCCAGCGCCCTGTGGGGACTTTGGTCCCGTCACCAGCACCGTCAACACCCGCCCGACGCCGCGGCACCCGAGTCAGCGTGGGGAAACTGAGGCACAGGGAGCCGTGAGTCACCGACAGCGCCCAGCCCGTCACGCCCCGGCCCTGCCCCACGGTGGGGACCCCGAGACCCCCCGACCTCCCAGACCCCACCTCCCACCCCCACCACGGCCACCAGACACGGCCTGAGGAACTGGGCATTGTTCAAATTCTCCTGGAAGCAGCAAAGCGCTTACCCGGGGCCCGCGCTTGCCCCGCGGGTGCTGCCGTAAGCAGATCTGGAGGATTAAAGAGGAAAATAATAACAATAACACGGGCCACGTGAGCAGCAGCCTCCAGGAAAGTGGTAAATCAGCACGTAAAAATTTGGGGGGGGTTTTCTCAAAATTAATGTGGGGACCCCCCTTCCCCCACGTAGTGCAGAGACCCCAACCCGGAGCAGGGAGCAGCGCCAGGGAAACCTGAATCCCTGTGGGAAATCCAACACGCGCACCCGTTCTGGAGGAGCTCAGTGCCAGGATCAGACCCCCATGGTGGGTGTGGGGGTAGGGAAGACCCTCTGACCCCTGGCAAGAGTGGGCACTGGGCCCCAGTGGTGCCCCCGAGGCTTTGGGGCTGCCCAAGTCAAACCCTCTCCACTTCAAGTGTCCCAACACCCCCTTGTCCCACAAATCCCTGAACCTCCCGATCGCAGTCGGATTCACCCCCGGACCGCGAGCTGATCCCCGCGCCCTCCTGGGGGTCCGAGCGGCCACCGGGACGCGGCAGCCGCGGGGACCCCACCACGAGCGGGACCGGGGGGTCTCGGGCTCCCGGAGCGGTAACCGGAGCGCGATGCCCCCGGGGAGGACACGGGAGGGGAGGTCCGGGGGTCCCTTCCTCCTGAAGGGGCACCGGGCAGGCAGCGCGACCTCCGGCCCCGCTGCCACGAGAGGAGCAGCCGCCTCTCGGCTTTGGGAGCCTCGGTACCGGTGGGGACCACGGTGGGGACCCCGGTGCCAGCGGAGGGGATTTTGGTGCCAGTGGGGACGCCGGTACCGGAGGGAAGCCCGGCGGGGATCCCGGTGCAGGTGGGGCGGCGGGGAAGGACGAAACCCCCCGTGCGCGGCGGGGCGCGGGGACCCCCGGTGCGCCCTCCCGCCCGGAGAGCCCGCTCGCCCCGCGGGGCCGCGGTCGGTCCCGGGGCCGGTGCCGGTCCCGGGGGGTCCCGTGGCCGCGGAGCCACTCACCTGCCGCCGCCTCCTCCGCTTTGTTCACCTTAAAATGGCAGCCGGGATCGATGGGAGGCGGTGGCGGCAGCGCTGCGGGACCGGCCCCGGGTCCCGCCCCCGGGAGGGGTGAGATGGAGGGGTGGGAGCACCGGGATCCGCCTCAGGGGGGGCGGTGAAACTGGGGGTGAAATCAGGGGCCGGTGAAACTGTGCCCTGTGCTGAGGGTCCCAAGGGCGCTGTGGTGGGATGGGGGTGCCCGCTGCCCCTGGACACGGTGGGTGCCCCAGGAGGCGCAAAAAAAAAGTTGAGACACGCCCCCCCCCAAAAAAAACAAACAAACAAACACCACCACCACGTTTATTAAACCCACTTATTAAATTAAAGCCACTTCAGCAGCTGCACCCCCTGCCCGGGGTGGGGGGCGGGAAATCCCCGATTCACAGGGTGAGGTGGGGGCACAGCCAGGGCCCGGGGACAGGAGGGACCACCCAGCGCTCGGGGGTCCCGGGGCCACGAGGCTCCACGAGGACCTCCAAAAGGAGGAGCCGGTGGGTTTGCTCCCCGTTCCCGCGTGGGTGCGATGGGTGGGTGGGTACTGGGTGATCCCTGCAGCATTGCCACCCCCTCCCCATCCCCTGGGGTGCCTCGGAGTGGGGGTTCCCCGGTCCTGGCACAGGCTCAGGAGCCACCTGCGCTGGAGCGGGTGACACGATCGTACTCCTGGATCCGCGCCTTGAGGTGCGTCAGCTTCTTCTTCAGGTACTCACAGCGCTGCTGCTTCTCCAGCCAGGCTGAATCCTGCCGGGAATTGCCCTGCCAAGGCACCGGGGGCCCGTGATGCCCAGGGCAACCCCCCCCCCGGCTCCCCAGAACAAATCCTGAACCCTCCCGCTGCTCACCCTCCTCCTCCTCACGAACTCACAGCAGTTGTGGGTCGCGTCCCGGAGCCCCGCGGGGGGTTCAGCCCTAATGAGGTGGCTGGAGGTGACAAATCCGGAGGGCTCAGGGGCACCCAGAATTCCTCCGGCACCTCCAGCACTTCCAAGACCTGCGGCAAAACCCTCCCCCAGGGCGCAGCCGAGAAATTCCAACGCTCATTAATTTTCCAGGAGCTGCCTTCGGGCGCTGCTGATGCCACCGGAGCCCGGGGGTCCACGTGTCTCCTCCTGTCGCCCCCAACACCCTCTGCAGCACCCCCAGGGCTCACCCTTAATCCCTGCAGAGAACGCCCAGCTCATCCCACCCAAGCCCGCTCGCAGGACTGTGCCCGGTGCCCACCCAGGGACCCACCGTCCTGCCCGGGGGGCGACATGTGGCACGGAGCTCCCGGTGCAGATCCACGTATTCCGCCAGCTGGTCCTGGAAGACGCCCTTGTACCCCTCCCTCTGCCGGGGGCTCCGGATCGCCGGGTACCTCCTGCACTCCCCCGCCCCCAAACCACGGGGCTCAGGTGCTGCCCTCACCCCCGGGACCCTCGTGGTTGGGTCCCGGGGGGTCCGTGACACCCCCGTGTCCATCCCCGTCCCCAAAGAGCCACTTACACCACGTAGTCGGGGACGGCGCGTGGCCGGGGTGACAGTCTGGGGGGGATGGACCTGTCCCCCTGCTTCTCCTGCTCCTTGGCAGGACGGACCCTCCCCGGGGGTCCCCGCGGTGGCACCACCTCGTCCTCGAAGGTGACACACCTGGCACGGGCTGGCGGAGGCTTCGGGACACAAGGGAGGGGTGTGAGGTGGTCCGAGGGCTCAGCCCCCCTGTCCCCGCTCCGTACCGGGCGGTCCGGGGGTCCCGGCGGGGCGGGGGGCCTCGGCCAGCGGCTCCCGGCGGTTTTGGGGTGATGGGGGTGCCCCGGGTGCATCCAACTTCGCTCTCGCAGCTCCTGGCTGGGTCCCGCTGGAGGAGAAGCCCCGGGATGAGGGGGACAGGAGTGGGTCCCAGTGCCCCCCAGTCTGGACTGGGATGGGAAGCATCTACTGGTGCTCCCAGCACCCAGGAGTAGGGACCTCCCTGGAGGAGCAGGGGGAGGGTCCCCTCCACGACCCCGCGAGTCCAGCAGCCCCTGGGTCACTCCTGGACACTTCGTGTCCCCCCCTGTCCCAGTGCCAGCCCCCCAGGGCAGTGTCCGGCCCCGACCCCTGCCACCAACGTTACCTGCCCGTCTCATGGGGGGACACGGCCCCGGGACCCACCGCGATGTCCCTTGGCCACTGCCACCACTGCTGCCACCACCAGTGCCACCAGTCACCGCCACCACCGCCCGGCACCGCCGGTTAATCATTAACAGCCTCGTGTCACCCCAAACCGTGGCACCGGGCCCCGCGTGGGCAGCCTGGGGCCCCTGCCCCCCCCTCCCCGAAGGGCCCCCCACCCTCCTGCCCCCGCCTTCTGCAAGACCCCAACCCCGTCCTGGGGCTGCAGAGGGGACCCAGGATACCCCAAAACAGCTTGGGATCCCCCATCACCCCACCCAGTTGGCTGCTATGAGCCCCCCAAACCAGCCCCCCCAGTGCTCCCCCCACCCGAGGGGTTTGGAGCCCCCATACCAGTCCCACAAGGTTCTCAGGGTGAGGGGACCCTCCTCAGTGGGGGGAGCGGCAAAGAGCCCCCCAAAACACGCCCTTTCACCCCCCCGGGACCCCACCCCCCCCGCCGGGGCGGGGTCCCGCTGCCGCGAGCAGAGAGTGACGCGTCCAGTTCAGGCTCCTTTAATTTGCGCCTCAGCCCCCCCGCGACCCCCCCACAGCGTGGAGGGGAGAGCAGGACCGGCCCCGGGGGGGTGCAGGGCTGTGGGGGTCCCGGCAGAGGGTCCTCGCCCACCCCGTGGGGGGGCTGGGCTCGGTATTGCATCCAGGAGTCTCACAGCGCTTTGCGATGGTTGGTGCCGTGTCCCCCCCAACCTCCCACCCCCACCCTCCTCCCATTTTACAGACGGGGGAAACTGAGGCACAGAGAGGTGACGTGACTTCGCCAAGGTCACTTCGCGGCAGAGCCAGGAACAGAGACACGCCTCCCCCTCCCCGCCCAAATCCTCCACCCCGGGGCTCAGCCCTGCTCTCACCACGGGGGTCTCTCCCTGCTCCGCACCCTCCAGGCAAGACCCCAGGTGCCCCCCCACCCTGCCCCCAACCTCCACCCCCTCCTCACCTGGGGGGCAGCCCCTGGACTCCCCCTCACAACACTCAGGGCTCCTGGCTTCTCCCCCTCTCCCTCTCCCCCCACTTCCCAGGGCTGCTCCAGCCCCCCCCAGCGCAGTGGTCGCTGCATCCCACCCCCCCAAAAAGCCCTCCTGGAGGCTGGGGCTCAGCTCCCACCCGGCCAGGGGGGCACGGAGGGGCTCCTGGGAGGGGGGTCTCCAGCCTCACGCCAGCACAGTGAACGCAGGAAATTTATACAGGGCTTTACAGAACAAAGCTACTGAAATCAGCCACACGATGGCCAGACATAAGAGGGGCCCCCCCAACACCCCCCCATCACCCGCTGTCCGAGGAGGTGGGAGAGGGGTGACATGGGGGGACCTGTGCCCCCCACACACACCCCCCTCCCTACCAACCGCTGTCTGAGGAGGTGGGGGGGCGACAAAGGGGGGCCTGTGGGTGCCCCCATAAACCCCCTCCCATGACCCGCTGTCCAAGGAGGTGGAGGAGGCTGTAAAAGGGCACCCCCAGCACCCCCCTCCCCATCACCCGCTGTCAGAGGCAGGGGGGCACCGGCAGGGGCGCGGGGGGCGTGGGTGGGGGTGCAGGGGGCTGTGGCCGAGCAGAGCCGGGGGGGCCAAGCCCCCAGGAGCTCCCTCTGCTGCTGGCCCAGGGCCTGGCTGACCAGCCCGGGCAGGGCCAGCAGGCTCAGCCCCAGCGCCTCCAGTTTGCTCTCCAGTGCTCCCAGGCGCTTCTCCAGGTCCTCGTGGCGCTCCTGCAGCTCCGAGACCATGTCGTACATGATGTTCTGGGTCTGGGGGGGGGTCACACCGACACGGGGGGGGGGTCAGTGCTGGATCCCCCCACAGTGGGGTCTCCCCAACCCCCCAACCTCCCCTCCAGCATCGCTCACCTTCGCCAGGTCCACCAGAGTGTTGGCCTGGTCGTTGAGCTTCCGCTGCTCCATCTTCACACTCCTCAGCCTGGGGAGACACAGGGGGAGGTTCAGGCTCAGTGACTCCCCCCAGGAGTGCCTTTACACCCCCATGCAGCCGCCCTCCAACCCAGCATGCAGTCCCCCCACCCCAACCCCGCAAGCACAGCCCCTGCCCCTCCATCCCTGCGGCCCAGACAGAGCCGGGGGGGCCACTCCGAGGTGTCCCCCCCACCCCAAACGTGGTAGCCAGAGCTCATGCACAGGGGAGCAGCCGGGGAGGGGGGGCAGAAAGGGGGTGACTTACTTCTGAGCTCTGCAGGGACAGGGCAGAACAGAGACAAAACACAACAGCAGGTTTAATACCACCACGAAGAGCGCGGGGGCACGAGAGCAGAGCAGCACCCCCCCCCCACCATGGACCACCCACCCAAGCCAGGCACCCCTCAGTCCCACCCCCACCAAAAGCAGAGCCCCCCAGCCCTGCTCCCCTGACAAGAGACAAGGTCACATCAACCCTCATCAGTGGGGTACCCCTGGGGTCACCCCAGGAGCATCGGGGTTCCCACGTGCTGGGACAGCATCCCATAGTGGGGGGGGGACAGGGGACAGGAGGCAGGGACAGGGGACACCAGAGATGGGGGACAAGGACAGGAGACAGGGGATGGGAAGACAGGGAGAGGGGACATATGGGATGGGGAAGAAGTTGGGATGGGGACAGCAGATGGAGGACAAGGACGAGGGACAGGAGACAAGGACAAGAGACAGCGACAGGGGAGGGGGACAGTGGAGATGGGGGACAAGAGATAGGGGATGGGGACAGGGGACAAGGACAAAGGACCTCCTGGCTCCCAACCCAGGGCTCCAGGCAGGCGCAGGAGGGGAGGAAGCACCCAGCTCTCCTCCTGGGGGAAAAAAGAACCTCTGGGATGGGACACCATTCCTGGTAGGAAGCAGGTAAAGGTTTGGCACTTACTGATGGATGGCTTGGAGGAACTTACGCTGGTGTTTCCGAACTTTGGCATGGTCGATCTTCTTCACCAGCTTGGTGTGTTTGTAGATGAGCCACGTTTCCCTGAGTACGTTGGCAGCAGCATTTTTCACCTGGAAGGCACCGAATCCCCCGGGATCAGGGGTGGGCGGGGCCGGGGGAGGGCCGGTCCTGCCGCCGGGGAGGGGCGAGGAGGGGCCGGGGGGCCTCACCCGCTTCGTGAGCTGCGTGTCCATCATGAAGTTGTGGACGTGTTTCTCCGCTTTGGTGAGCTCCAGTTTTCGGGCCACCACGGCCACGACCAGCGCGGTGCAGCCGGCGCCCTGCGGGCAGGGACCCCCGGGGTGAGGTGTGGGAGGAAGGGGGGCCCGGGGGGGCGCAGGGGCCGCGCGTGTCCCCCCCCCGCCCCCCGGCCCGGCGCTCACCATGATGCCGGTGAGCAGGCACACGCCCTTCCCGCAGTAGGTGTGCGGCACCATGTCCCCGTAGCCGATGGACAGGAAGGTGATGGAGATCAGCCACATCGCCCCCAGGAAGTTGCTGGTCACCTCCTGCTTGTCGTGGTACCTGCCCGGGGCCGAGCGCAGCCGCTGTCACCGCTGGCACCGCTGGCACCGCGCTCCCCCCTCGTGGTGCCACCGCTCTGCCACGCGGGGTTTTGGGGCGCGTTGCCAGCCGGTGGCTGCAGCCAACGAGAGTCCCCGAGCTCCCGTGGGTGCTGCTGGGAGCCCCAGAGAGGTTGGGGACACCCCGGGGACACCGGGCACGGCCACTCCAGCCACAGGCGCCGGGCAGGAGGGATGCCCTGAGGGGGCTGCGCCCCCCAGGAGTGGGGCTGGATCAGGGGGCGCTGCTGGGTGAGGACAGCAAGGGGACAGGCTGGGAGCAGCCCCACAGCGACCTCCATCCCCCAGAGATCTCAAAGCACAGGACACGGGTGTCACCCCAGACCCCCGGGGAGGGGACACGCCATCCCTGCAGAGACCTGCATGAACCGGGGCACCCCGAGACCACCGTGGGTGACACTGGGTGGGCAGTGGGGGGGGACACTGTGCTTTGAGATTCCGTGGCCAGAGCCGACGCCACGGACACAGCCGGCCGTGCCCCCCACCCCTCCCCGAGGGACCCCCCTGACAGGGGGACGAGCCCGGCCGGGACACGGAGCAGTGGCCAAGCTGGGCAGCAGGACTGGGACATGCTGGGAGCAATGGGGAGCTGGGAAAACGGGGTGCTGGGGGTGGGGGGAGGGAAGGAGGGGAGATGGGAGCAAGCTGGGGGGGCGCTCAAGCGTGCGGTGAGGAATTTAGGATTGCTGCGTCCCTCCACCCGGCCCCCCGGGGGGCTTGGAACCTCATCTGGCGCTGAGGGGCATGGCAGGGAGAGGGGGGGGGCACCATGGGACAGGCTGGTACTGGGGGCACCCCTCAGCCCAAGGGCAGGAAGATGCTGGGGGCACCCACACCCTGGGTGGGGTCGGCAGCCCAGGATGTCACCCCACAGTGATGCTCCCCAGGACCTGCAGATCTCCCCACTCCCGAGGAGCACCCTCCAGGCACCCAAAACATGCAGGTTAAGGAGGGGAAGCACCAAGGAACAACATCCAGGGCCAAGGAAAACCCTTTGGAGGCTCCTCCAAAGCCTCCCATTCAAAGCAATAAGGATCCAGCGGCTCCTTCCCAGCTTCTTGCCGGGATTTCCCCTGCCAGGATCACCCCAGAACCCACAGCAATCCCTGCAGCAAATCCCCTGAGAGCCCTCCAAGAGCCAGCACAGAAGGAGCTGTGCCCCAATCCCCCCACAATAGGACCCCCGTTTCGTGCCCACAGCCAGGTTGGGCACCATGGCCCCCCCAGCTGGGGGGCACAGGGGGGACAGGAAGCAGCTGCTGAGGTTCCAAGTGGAAAAGGGCTCCAGCCCCTTTCCATGTCCACGGCCCCTTTGCCCCCCCAGCCTTGCCCCCCTCCCACCCTGGCTGCAGCTAATCCTAAATTCTGGGAAGCAGAAGCCTGGGGCGGGGCCGCCCCGTGCAGGACGCGCTGGGGGTCCCTGGGGTCACTCACAGTTTGTCCCTGCAAGCAGCAGAGCGTCAGGGAGGGAAAACAAGAGCAGTTAATGCGCGGCCCGGGGAGGGGGGGCCGGCCCAGAAGGGGCGGGCACGGGCAGGACACCGGCGCGGGCATCCCGGCCCCGCCCCGCGGGAGCAGCTGAGGAGCACGGGCACGTCCCGAGCCAGGTCCCCTCCGTGGGACCCCCACATCCTGGGACCCCTCTGAGTGACCCCCACCATCCTGGGACCCCCCTGTGAGGCTCCCACCTCCTGGGACCCCTCTGTGAGACCCCCAGCTCCACCTGGACAACAGAGAGTAGATCCTGCCCCACCCCTGGCGGGCACAAAGGAGCTTGGGAGAGGTTTGGGGACACCCTGGGGGTCCGGCCACCCACACCTTGCCTCGGTGAGCGAGCTCAGTTTGGAAAAACCATCACGGCCACCGTGGGGGTCCCACCAAGGGGGTCAGCCCGGAGAGTGGGGGTCTCTCCTCCAAGAGGTCTCTTCCCCAAGGGGTCTCTCCTCCGCCCCGAGCCCCCCTCAGGGTGTGCACCGTGCGTCCTCAGCTGCCCCCAGCCCCGCGCTCCCCCCCGAGCCCCTCCAGGGAGCTCCCCCCGCACCTCTCGCACACGCGGACGGTCCAGGCGGCGATGATCCAGGAGGAGATGCTGAACACCAGCAGGACGGTGCCGGGGCAGATGGTCATGAGGGTCTTCATGACGAAGCGGGTGTTGAAGTTGATCTTGTTGAGGGCCCCGATGCTGCGGGACGAGGCGTCGGTGAAGAGCTTGCTGTGCAGGAGCATCACGCGCCCGATCAGGTAGAGCCGCAGGAACATGGGGATGGACAGGATGATGTCCACGTCGGCGTCGGCCACGGAGGCGGCGTAGGTGAAGGCCAGGCGGGCGGTCCAGGTGAACAGGTACTGCCCGGGGATGGGGTGGATGGCGCACACGATGAGCTCCAGCGCGATGAAGAAGATGCGCTCGTAGGTCATGGCGATGCGCCAGTCGTCGGCGCCGTTGTCCACCATGAACAGCTGCGGGGGCACAGAGGGTGCTGGTGGGACCCCCGGGGCGGCAGGACCCCCCTGGGAACCCCCCGGGGCGGGTGCCCCTCACCTGGATCTCCCTGGCGTGGTACATGACGATGAGCCCCAGGAGGATGAGGGTCGAGAGGCTGATAAGGCATTTCAGTGCAAACGAATACGACGACTCCTGCCGGGGGAGCGGGGCCAGGGTGAGCCAGACAAACCCCCGGACGAACCCCCACCCACCTCCCACCGCCCCCACAACCTTGGTGTAGACCCCCCAGGACAGCTCCGTCTCCGTGACCATGACCACGATGCCGAACATGCCGAAGATCAGGGCGTAATCGCTGAGGCGCTTCCGCTTCTCGAAGAGGGCTCGCCGGTGGCCCAGCTTGTACCCGATGTTCTGGTTCCTCCGGGGTTCCCCTCCCCGCTCCTCGGCCGCATCCTGCCCCGGGGCCGCCGCTGGGCCAGGCTCAGGACCCCCGGGCTGCTCCGGCCGCGACACCACCACCTCGAGGCCGGGGGACGGGCAGGGCCGCAGGGGCTGGGTCTCCCCCTCGAGCGTGTGCAGGGAGCGGGCAGAGGCGCTCAGGGGGCCCCGGGGCCGTGTCACCCCCCCATTGTAGCGGCAGCCGCTCATGGCTCTGGCGGGGAGGGGGCCGGGCGATCCCGCATGGCTCAGCGGCGCGGGGGAGACCTGCGGGACAGGGGACGGGGGGCTGCGTGGGTGGGGGAGCCACGGGGAGCCGGGATCAGCGTCCTCGTCCAGCCCGGCACCAGGTGATGCTTCCCAGGGACATGTCCTGTCCATGGGGACACGTCCTACCTACAGGGACATGCCCTGCCCATGGGGGATGTGCCCTGCTGGGGGGGGACGTGTCCTACCCACTGGGGACCTGTCCTGCCCGTGGGGGACGCGTCCTGCTTGGGGGAGGACAAACCGTGCCCACAGGTGCGTGTCCTGCCCAGGGGGGGACGTGTCGCGCTCACGGGGGACGTGCCAGCGCCCTGCCCACGGGGGACGCGTCGTGCCTACGGGGACATGTCCTGCCCGTCGGGGACGCGCCCGCGTCCTGCCCACGGGACCGTGTCCTGCCCCCGCCGCAGCCCCGCCGCACCCTCCGGGGGTGCGGACACCGAGCCCAGGCCGTGCCCGTGCCCCGCGGTGCCCCCCCCCGCCCCGCGCCGTTGGCCGTCGCTGCCCCGCGGCCCCGGGACGGCTCCGCTCCGGTGTAACGAAGCCGCAGCCGCGCGTCCCCGCCGCCCCCGAACCCGCCGCGCGCCGCGCCCGGGGCTCCCGCTGCCCGGGGGCTCCCCGGTGGGCTCCGGCCCGGCCGCCCCCGGCCCGGCACCCCCCCCGGCGAGCGCGGTACCTGCCGTGGCCGGTGCCGGGGGCCGGGCCGGGTCCCGCCGCCGCCGCAGCCGGAGCCGGTCCCGGGGGCGCGCGGCAGCGCTGGAGCGCCCGGGGCGGGGCGGGGGCGCGTCCGCGCTCCCGTTGGTCAGGACAGACCACGCCCTTCCTGACGAGCGCCGCGCCACGCCCTCAGCCCCGCCCCTCCGAGCGCTGGCCACGCCTCCTTCGCATTCGAAATCCCCCCCCATGCGCTGCTGGAGCCCCCCAAAGCCCACGCGCCCCTCCCCCAAAAAACACCCCCCCCAACACCCCTGCCCCCAAAGGACTCGCCCCTTGCACGCCCCTGGCACCCCCTCCGGCCTCGCTGTGCCCCAAAACTCATCATGCCCCGTGCTCCCCCACCCAGGGCTCCCCCTCATCCTCCCCAAGCCCCCCAAGAACGCGGGCTCCGGCATCCCCAGAATAGCACCCCCATCAGCCTCAGTGCACCCCCAGCTCCCCAAACATCCCCAGAGCCTCGGTGCAGCCCCAGCACCCCTGATCCCCGTCGTGCCCCCTACCTGCTCGGGCTCCCGAGGGCCGGCCGGGGTCCTCGGGGCGTTAGGGGCTGCGGGGCCAGGGCTGGAGGCGGGGCATGCAGTCTGGGGTCAAGCCATGGGCTTCCCTCCACGCCTGGCCAGAGAGATGTGGCATTAGCGAGGTCCCCAAATCCCCTCGGCTGTGGGGCCAGGGACCCCCAGAGCCGCTGCACCTGGTGAGGGTCCTGCCCTGGCACCGCCACTCAGGGGGTCACCCTGTAGCTTGCCCCCCCCCGGGCACCCCCCGATGCACAGACCCCTCTCACCAGCAGCCCCAGTGCACGAGGGGCTCCATCCCACCAGGGACCCCACTGCATGAGGGGCTGCACCGCACCAACAATGCCCTTCCTGAGGGGCTGCACTGCACACACAGCCCCGCTGCACAGGGGCCTCATCACACACAAGACCCCCTTGCACAAGGGGCTGCATCCCCCCAACAGCCCCACTGCGGGGGGGCTGCACTGCACCAAAGACCCCGTGGAAGGAGGGGCTGCATCGCACCAACTACCCTCTGCCTCACCAGGGGCTGCATCCCACAGAGAACCTCCCTGCACGAGGGACCCCACAGCACCAATCACCCCGCTGCACGAGGGGCTGCGTCACACAAACGGCCCCCTTGCACCACAGGCTGCATCCCAGCAAAGACCCCACTGCACGAGGGGCTGCGCCGCACCAACAACCCTGCTCCACGAGGGGCTGCATCCCACGGGAAACCCCACTGCACGAAGGCCTCGCGGCCCAAAAATCCCCACTGCGCGGGGGGCTTCGTCGCGCCCACGACCCCGTTCCACGAGGGGCTGCATCCCACGGCAGACCCCCCGGCACGAGGAGCTGCCTCAGAGCGCCGGCCCCGCTGCGAGAGGGGCTGCATTGCACCAACAGCCCCGCTGCACAGGGGCCTCCTCGCACGGCAGACCCCCTTGCACGACGGGCTCTGTGGCACCCACGACCCCACTGCATGGGGGGCTGCACCCCATGAAGGGCCCCATTGCACGGGGGGCTCTGCTGCACCAACAGCCCCTTGGCACGAGGGGCTGCGTCAGGTGGAACCCCCCAAAGCCCCCAAATGGCCTCTGAACCCCCACACCGAGCCCACGGCCCCCGCAGCAGCCCAGGGCTCCTCGCACAGGGGAACAGGGGGCCCCCGCAGCCCCCCCAGCCCTGCAGCGGGGCTGTACCCGGGGGTGCAGCAGCTCCCTGGATTTCAGGCCTCCAAGCTCCCAGTCCTGCCGCACCCCGGAACGCCGGGATCGGCACGGACACCAGCACGGGGACACCCGGCGTGGGGCTGCCACCACCAGCAACCCCCATTTCCCTGGGGAGCAGCAGGGCTTTGGGACCCCGTCCCCATCCCCCGGGGACGCAGCGGAGCCAGGGATGATGCTTTCCCGGTTCCTCCGGGAGCTCCGGAGCGTGGCCGGGCTCCAGCGCCCAGCTGCTCCCGGTGTGCAGCCGGGGCCCTGGCTCCCCTCCAGAGCCAGATCATTTTCTCTCCATTCTGCCAAATTTATCGCAGGAAAATGGGCTCCGATTTCTTTTTAATACTCGGATGGGGAGAAAAATACGCAGCGGGCAGGGACGGAGGGGAAACGTCTCCCCAGGGCCGGCGGCCCCGGGCCCTTCACCGCGGCCGTGCCGGGGATGCCGGAGCTGTGCCAGGGCTCTGCTCACCCCACAGCCCACAAAACTTTTTGCCACCACAAACAGGGGGGGGTGAAGCCGCCCCGGAGCCCTCCCCGACCAGTGTCAGTAAATATTTCATTAACCACCGCGCCGTGGTCGTTTCACCAACAGCCTCTATCGATGGCGACGTAAATGGGCCTTATTAAATCTTCCTCCTGCCAGGACGTCCACGGGGATGAATCCGGCAGGATTCAGCACCTGGAGGGCTGGTTGAAACTGTGAAGGCCCGAGGAGTCCCTGTCCCCCCACCTCCCATGGGGATGCCCTGGCTGGGGGCTGCATCCCCAGGGATGATACTCGGGTGGGATGTGTGGTCCTCCTTGACCCCATCATCCTCAGCACGGGGATGGGGATGGGGACATGGCAGGTCCCCCAGGCAGGGGTTCTGCTGGCCACGGTCACTGTGTGTCCTTGAGCCGTGGGCCTGCGTGTCCCTGCTGGCGGCAGCTCCCGCCGGGATGTGACACAGCAGCAGAGCCGGGTGTCACAGCATGGCACAGGGGGTCCTCACCGTCCCCCTGGCACCCTCGGGGCTGGGACTCGGGCACCACCCACTCTGCAGTGTCACTGGGGTTGTCACCAAGGAGATGGCTGGGGATGGACTCTTGGGATGGGGACAGCAAAGGGGTCCTAAGGGCGACCCCAGCCATGGCAGCACCTCCACACCCTGCACAGAGCACGGACATGGGTAGTGGGACATGGCTTAACCCCCCAGGGCTGGGCTGCAGCAGCCCCCGGTGCCCTGGGGGTGGCTGTGGGGTGGCTGTGGGGTGGCAGTGGGACCCCCCACTTCCCCCCCGTGCCCCGGAGCGGCGACGCTGCCTTGGAGCAACTGCAGAGGAGGAGGGTGCGGCTAAAAATAGCGCCGGGAGGCCGAAAGGCTCCCCGCGGGTGATTTATTTATTACCCGCCCGCTAATTCCTGCCGGGGAATCACGGGCCCGCCGAGGGTGGGGCAGGAATTTGGGGGAGCAGCGGCTGTGCCAGGGCTGTGCCCCGGGGGGGACAGGGAGGCCAAGGAAGCAGGGAACCCCCTGGCCCTGGGGCAGGGGACGGGGTGCTGGGGGCAGTGGGACGTGCATGGTGACCCTGCCCGGGGTCACAGGGGCTCCCCGCCGGCCGCCACCGCGGCTCGGGCTTCGCCGGGGCACGAAGTGCGTCAGACCCCCTGCAGCCCCCCCCCCGTCCCCAAAAATCCCCTGCGGCGGCCCCGGTTCCTCCGGCCGCCGCCAAGCCCTGGCCATATGTCCCAGGCTGGGGAGCATCTGGCGGTGCCGGCGGGAGCCCCCCCCGCCCCCGCAAACGCCGCTGCCCACCCGCCGGCACGGGGCGGGCTGGGGGTGCCACCGCCACTGCTTCCCCCTCCACGAGGGCAGGGCAGGGGTGTGAGCGTGGTTTGGGGGGACACCAAACCCTCTGAGGCCCTTGGGGCTGCAGGAGGCACTGGGACAAGGCCACCCGGCTCCCGAAGAGCACCGCGATGGTTCAGCCAAGCCCTGCCACGGTGGGACCCCCAGTGATGCCAACACCAGGGACCCCCATATCCCAAGCGCCCCAGGTCTCCCCTGACATGGTGGGGTCGGTGCAGAGGGGCAGAGCCTGGCACTGGGGTGATCCACTCCACCCAGCATCAGGCCTGTTCCCGCCCGTGGGGTGTCTGTGGGCCCCAGGGCACAGGGGGAGGCACAGGGGCTGGCACACACGCGGGGACACGCAGGGACACGCGGGGACAACCTGAACCTCCCCAGCCCCGACGCGGCGCAGGGGAATCCCCGGCTTGTCCCGGGGTCTCCCCGAGAAAATCCCTCCCCTGAGCCCCACGGAGACACCCTGGGGCCGGGCTGGATCAGGCCCAGAGGAACACGGGGGGCAGCACCGATGTCCCCAGGGGTGGCACAGGCAGCCAGGGCCCCCTGCCACCCCCAGCCCAAGGGGGATCCCATCCCCAGCCCTCCCAGCTCAGGAGGGGACACGCAGCCAGGGGACACCCTACCTGCGTGGAGCCAGCCGGGTGCCTGGGGCTGGGGTGGGGGGTCCCGCAGGGTCCAGCGCGGGGGTTCGGGCTCCCCACGCCCCCCCTTCGCCGCCACCGCGCCGGCGTCCCCAGACAAAGCCGCTGCGCCGGGTTCTCCCGCCGCCTCCCCCACGCGCTCGGCTCAGCCGAAGGACAAAGCCGCTCCGCCTGGCTGCCCCCGCAGGGCCACGCCGACCCCCTGCCCGGGGCCGCCAGGGGGGGACACGGGGGTCCCCACTGCCCCCACCACTGCCACAAACCCCTCAGCGAGGGGGGGGTCCCCCAAACCTCGCCAACAACGCCCTCGTAGAGCCCCATGTCCCCGCTGCAGGGTGAGGGGGGGTCCCCAGCAGAGCAGAGGGGTCCCCACAACCCCCCCAAGGTCCCCACCCTGCATGGGGACCCCCAGGGGTGGCTCAAGGTCACTGGGAAGGTCGTGAAGGGCAGGGAGGCCCCCACGGCCTCGACGGCGCCGCGACACAGCGGGCGCTGCCCGGGCACTCCCCGACACATCGAGGCCACGCGGTGCCAGGACCCACCAGGAGCCCCCGGTGCCCACCGTGGGATTGGGACCGGCCTGGGGTCCCACTGGCCCAGAGATGTCACCCCAGCATCACAGCTGGATCGGCTGGGGCTGGCTGTGGCAGGGGGTCCCACTGGTTTTGGTGAGGGCTGAGCTTGGTGCCACCCTGGTGTCCCAGTGGGTACCATCACTGGCGAGCACCGAGCACCCTCAGCCCCTCAAACCTGCTCGGTTTCAGTGCCACCGTCCCCAAGGGTGGGAACCCCCCAAATCCCCTGACTCTGGCAGCTGGGGATTACCCTGAGCAGGCAAATCCTGCTGGGAGGGCGTCCCCAACATCCCCATACCCCAAAAACCTGCAGGGAGGGTGTCCCTGGTGCCTCCACACCCCAGAAACCATGAGACAGGACATCCCTGGTGTCCCCATACCCTGGCACCACGCAGGGAGGGTGTCCCCGCTGTTCCCAAACCCTAAAAATTCACAGACAGGACATCCCTGGTGTCCCCACAACCTGGCACCACGCAGGGAGGGTGTCCCTGGTGTTCTCACACCTCAAAAACCTACAGACAGGACATCCCCGGTGTCCCTACAGCCTGACACCACAAAGGGAAGGTGTCCCCTGTGTTCCCACACCCCAAAAATCTGCACACAGAGCGTCCCTCGTGTCCCTGCATCCCAAAACCCCACAGACAGGGCGACCCTGGTGTCCCCACGCACCGGCACCCCTCAGGCAGGACACCCCCGGTGTCCCCACACCCCGACACCACAAAGGGAGGGCATCCCTGGCGTCCCCACACTCCAAAGACCCGCAGACCCCGGTGCCCAAACCTCCCCAAAAACGTGCAGACGGGGCGTCCACGGTGTCCCCACACCCTTCCACAGCACGGAATGCCATCCCGGGGTCCCCCCGCTGCCACCCGCGGGTCCCCCGCGCCGCCCCCGCCCCTCGCCCGCTCACTTGCCACGGCCCCGCGCTACGGGGAGCGTCGGGGGTCGCCGGGGGGCCCGGGGGGCGGCGGGGCATGTGCCAGGGCGCGGGGGCTGCGGGCGCGGGCAGCTCTCGGCGCGGCGGAGCAGCAGCACTGGCGACGGCGGCGTGCGGGAGCCGCGGCGCCGGGGGGCCAGGGGCTTCCCCGCCCACGCCCCGCGTCCCCCCACCCCCGGCAGGGTGGTGACCTTGAGGCCGCGGCGCTGGCGGTGGGTGAGGGTGGAGGATATTTTAGCCGGGCACAGTCACTCCCATCGCGTCCTCATTGTCACCGCCGGGGGCTCCTCCCGCGCCCCCGCGGCCCCTCCCCGGCCCCGCAGCCCCCCGCGCCAGGGGCGGCTGAACAGGCCTAGGCCCCCACCCCGGGCCCTCAGATCCTCGAGGTGCCCTCAGGGCACCCCTCATGGTGCCGTCTCCCCTTCCCAAATCTCCCCCAGGCACCCCCTGCTGCCCCCCGCGCCAGGGGTTCCCACGAGCCAGGGGATCCCCACGAGCCGGGGATTCCCAGGAAATCGGGAGATTCCTGGGAGTCAGGGAGGGTTCCCCAGCACCAGCAGGTCCCCCGGAGCTGGGAGGAGGGTGTGTGTGGAGGGGTCCCCACTCGCCCTTTACCCCACGTGTGTGTCCCCCCCCCAAAATGCACCCACCTGCAGCCAGCCCCCGGCCTGCGCTGCCCTCGGGCGCTGCCGCCGCTGACCATGGCCCGGCGGGGACACGTGCGGCGCCGAGCGCGGCTCCGCTGGCACCACGCGGGGCCGGGGGCGACCCCGCACGCGGGCCCCGCGGAGCCGCCAGAGCCCCCGCGGCCGCCCCGCGCCCCGGTTCCCCCAGCGCGGGCGGGGATGCGGCGCCGCCGCCGTCCCGCCCGCACGCGCAGCCGCGCGCGCCCGCCCCGGTTCCCCCCTCCGGTGCTTCCCCACCCCTCCACTCGGGGGCCTCCCGAGTGCTTTCCCCGGCCGCCACCACCACCGCGGCCGCGGTCTGCGGATAAAACCTCGGCCGCCTGACGGGCCCCCCCGCGCCACCACCACCACCCCACCACGCGCGTCCCTAACCCCTTCGCGGGGACGTGGGGGATCGCCCACCCGCAGCACCTCCGCGCCGCCCCCTCCCCACGCGGCCGGGGGTCGCTTAGGACCTCCCTCGCCCCGGGTTGCAGCGATGCGGCCGCGGGGTTGGCCTTGCACGAGCGTGTGAGCGGGACCCCCCCTCCCCTCCCCGCACCCCTCGGTGGGACCCCCCGGGATTCGGGACCCCCCGGGCGCGGGAAGGGGGTGCGGGGTGATCCCCCTCGGCTTGGGTGCGCGTTGCAAGGCAGGGCGGGCACCGGGGGTGGTCTGGGGAGGTCGGAGGGCGCAGCCCCCTCTCTCCCTTGTCACGCCAGAGAGGGGCACACGCGTGTGCAAGGACCCCGAGCCGTGGAGGGTGGGGTGGGTGTGCACGGGGGGGTTTGCAGGGGGGTGCGCGTGTCGGTTTAGGGCAGCAGGGGCTGGGGTGTGCGTGGAATAAAGCCCGAGGGTGCACGAGGGGGGTGGGCAGGGAGAGGGTGAGGAGGGGTCCGTGTGGGGGTTTGCAGAGGATGTGCAAGGAGGGTGAGAAACGAGGGGAGGGGACGTGCAGGGGGTGTGCAAGGCAGGGGGTGCGCTGGGAGGGGGGTGTGCAGGGAGGGCGTGCACAGCAGTGCGTGTGAACACACGCGTGTGTGTGTCTGTGTGTGCAAGAGCGGGGCAGGGGGCCACACGCAGAGTGCGGTGCCCGGCAGGTGCGCGGGGCAGGGGGGCGCACAAAGGCGTGAGGCAGCGGGGGCGGGGGAGCCGTGGTGCAGGGCGGGCGCTGCAGAGGGTGGGCACCGTGCGCGGGGGCTGCGGGGAGCGGGGGGTCCTGGGAGGCGGGGAGAATGCACGGTGCGGGGAGGCGGGGGCACCGCGGGTGGGATACCCGGTGCGCGGGGAGGAAAGCCCGGGGCGGGGGGGATGCCCGGTTTGGGGGAGTTGCCCCGGTGCAAGCCCCGCGCGGCTGCGCAGGCGGCAGGAGGATCCGTGTTCGCCCCCGCAGGTTCTCCCCGCCCCGTTGCCATGGCAGCGCCCCCTCCCCTTCCCGCGGGATGCGCGCGATGCGAGCGCGGCCCCCGCACCGGGGAGGGGGATGGAAAAGCGGGGAATCCCCGCGGGGGAAGGGCAGGGAATCCCTCCCTCTCCGCCGCTCCCCGTCCCCAACCCCTGCAGTGGGACCCGTTTGGCTGAGGGGGCAGGGGACACCGTTAATCCCTTAGGTACCCCGGGGATCCCCCTCCCGCACTGCGGGATTCCCCCACATCCCGCCTTGCCCATGGGAGGGACCCCCCTGTCCCCCTAGGGGGGGAATCCCCATTAATCCCACTCGCAGGGCAGGGTCCCACCCTGCCCCCACACTGAGGATTTCCCCCATTAATCCCTTCAAGGGGGAACCCCCCACCCTTGCACCAGAGGGGTTCCCCCAACCGCCCCCCCCTTACAATGGGGGATCCCTTCCCTTTGCTGGGGGGGACCCCATTAACCCCTTCCCATATCTCCCCCACACAGAGGGCTCCCCAACATCACGGGGGTCCCGTTCCCTGGGTAGCTGATGCGGGGGGGTTTCAGCCTCCGGGAACCCCATGGAGGGTGGGGGCCCACGCCACAGCCCCCCTGTGCTGTCACCGCCAGCACATCCCACCCCGTGCCCCTCCCTGCGCGGGGGACACCCGGCACTGCCGCAGTGCCGAGGGGGAGAGGGGAGGGAGGAGGAGGAGGAGGAGGGGGAGGAGGAAGGGGGCCGGGTGGGCTCTGCTGCACAAAGCCAGGGCTGAGCAGGCGCCTCTGCAGCACAGGGGAGTGGGCGAGGACAGGGAGGGGGCACCGGGAATGGGGGGGGTTGTAGGGATTGGGGGAGGGTTGAGAGGGGACACACACACACACACACTCACGTGGGTTCATTATTCCAGCAGGAATGGGGGGGCTTTCCCCATGTCAGGCGCTGCAGCCCCACCAAGCACAACCTGCTGGAGATGGCGGGGGGGGACCAAAAAGGGGGAACCCCCCTCCGAGAGACCCCCAGTCCAGGCAGGAATCACACGCCCAACTCCCAGCGGGATTTTCTGCAGCGTTTCATGGGAATAAACAGCCCCACCCGTGGCGGGCCAGGAAAAGGAAACCCCCCCTCAACCATCCCCTCCTTATTCCTTCCCCTATTTAAGAGGATTTTGGGGTGTTTTTTAATTTTTAATTGGGTTCAAACACAACAAACTCTCACAGAAAAGGGATAGAGGGGGGGTTCATTCCTCCCTGGCTGGGTCTGGGGGTGCAGGGGGGGCACTGGCCAGCCCAGCCCCTTTAGGGGGGTGCAGAGGGCTGGGGGCAGCCCCAAAACAGCCACAGAGGCTCAGCTTCAAAGGCTCAGCCCGGCTTGGGATGAGTCTGATTCAATCCCGTGGGATGAGCAGCCATGAGTGTGACACCCCCAGGCCCTGGAGCCACCGGGAGGAATTCCTTGGAGAAGGAGTTTCACTCCCAAAGGAGACCAGAAGATGGAAAAAGAGAGGGAAGAGAGGAAAACCCAGCGGCTGCTGGAGGTGAGGGCAGGACTGTGCTGTGGCTCCCGGGCTAAGGCTCTCACACATTCCCAAGGGAGCCCAGGGATCTCACCTGGCATTCCCAAGGGAGCTCACAGATCTCACTCGCATTCCCACGGGAGCTCATCCCATTCCTCCTGCCTGGGCCAGCACAGGGACCCCCAGGGGAGCAGAGGTGGCACGGGGGGTTGGTGTCACCTCCCTTTCCAAAGGCCCACATGGCACCTTCTGGCCTGAGCCCAGGAAGAAGGGATGGGAGAAGCAGCAGCTTCCATTGTCAGGGGCACTGGGAATGTCCCACAGAGTAGCCTGGCACCAGAGCCCTAGCCAGAGGGGGCAGGAACCACGCCGGGCTGGCATCTCTCCCGTTCCTCCTGGAGAGAACGTGGCCATCCCCTCTTCCCCACCCTCCTGCTCCCGCTGGGGCTGAGACCAAGAGCGGAGAGGCAGCTGGAGGAACAGCAATCCCAGTCTGGAATCTCTTCGGGGGCACCCCAAGGATGGCACGGGGAGCAGGGAGCAGGTGCCTTCCACGGGATGGTTCCAAAATCCCTCTGCAGAGCGCGAGGGCGGGCACAGGGACAGTCTGGGAGGGGGTGGCCACCACGGGGGTCCCCACCTGGACCTGCTGGAGGTCTGGAAGCGAGTTAGTAGCTGGTTTTGTCAGGGAACGCCCGGATCTGGGAAGGTGAAGGTGGCGTTAGTCTGTCCAGGGGGGGACACAAGAGCGTCCCTGGGCGGGCGGTGGCCTCGTGCTCCTCTGAAATCCAAGGAGAAAGCGGGGACAGGGAAGGGAAAGCGGAGGAGAGGACGCTCCTCGTGTCTCCCGCTTCCACTGCCAACAGTCCGGGGCCGGGGGCGGGGGAGGCCGGAGGAGCAGCTCGAGTTCTACTTGTGGCTGTTGTAGGCCTTGTGCCTCTGGTTCATGGGGTTCTCCGGGGACCTCATCCACTCCTTCTTGAGGAGCTGCTTGAGCTGGGACAGGCGCATGTTGGGGTTCTCCTGCTTCAGGCGGGGCAGGTGCAGCTCCTCGAAGGCGGTGAAGGCGGCTTTCATGCGGCGCTCGGGGTGCCTGTCCCCGTCGTTGGCCACGCTGCCGGGGCAAAGCGGGACACGTGGGCGCCGGGGACAGCCCCAGCCCGCGGGAAACCGGCCCCTCCCCGCCCCGGGAACTCCCAGGGATGAGGGCTGGGAAAACCACCACGCACCTGAGCACAGCGATGGCGTCCTCGATGGTCCTGGCCTCCACCGAGCCCTCCTCCAGCACCCTCCTGTTGATGTTCTCCTCCAAGGGGACTTCCAGGTGGGTCTTCTCCGCTGCACAGGGAAGGGGAAAAAGGCAGAGCCATCGAATCCAGCCTGGGCATCCCCCCCTAGGGGAGGGTTTTCCCTCTGGAAAACTCGGCCAGAGTCTGGGGCCAGGGCTGCAAGAGCTCTGGCTCTGCAGCTCTGCTCCACCCCGAGGTGCCAGGAGGGTTCTTTTTCCCATATTTGGGTGTTGGGCATGGACACAGCCAAGCAGGGAGCATGGGAATGGCTGCAGGCAGCACAGGAGCAGAATCACGGGGTCATTAAGGTTGGAGAAGACTCTTTAAGATCACCAAGTCCAACCCTCAAACATCACAGCCACATTCACCACTAAACCACGTCCCCAGGTGCCACATCCACGTGTTTTTTGAACACTTCCAGGGATGGTGACTCCACCACTTCCTGGGCAGCCAAAGCTTTACAACCCAGGCCTGCAGCTCCTGCTTTCCAAACACCTCATCCTTCAGTGACAGCAAGTGGAGAAGGAGCAGCCCCCCATCCCATCCCATCCCATCCCATCCCATCCCATCCCATCCCATCCCATCCCATCCCATCCCATCCCATCCCACCCCATCCCACTCGCCAGGGCCTTTCCATGGCATTCCCAAACCTGTATCCGCGTTCTCCTTCTGCTGCTGGTCTTTCCTGATTGTCTCCTCGATCTGGGCCCTGGTGACCTTCCCTGGAGTGACCTGCTTGGGTGACTTCCCTTTGAGCTTGGAGTCCTCCTCCTCCAGCAGGCGCTGCAGCTCCTTCTTGCGCTCCAGCTGCTCCAGCCGCCGCTTCTCCCGCTCCTCCTGCGAGGGAGGAAGGACCAGGTCACCCCTAAACCTTACAGAGGGATCAAATTCTCCCTCCAGCAGCAGGGAATCCCGCTGGAACAGGAGCAGGCGCCTCAGTGCTGTAGCTGGATCACCCTGACCTTCAGCAGGACAGAGACAGCCCGTCCCCATCCCTCTGGAATGACGATTCCCACATCCCTGCCCGCTGATGTCAGCCCTGAGAAACACGACCCTGCTGTGGAGGAGGAGGAGTGCCAGGACAATCAGATTAAGCTTTCCACTTTAATTTTAATCAGTGCTGGGAGGCTTGGGAGCTCAGCAGCTGCTGGTGAGGAGCCTGGATCCGTCGTCACGCCCTTCCCGAGGGCCGGCGCGTGCGGCCGGGCGGATTCCCAGAGGCAGAGCAGCTCCTGTGGGAATCTGAAGTGCTCCAGAAGGGGCTCAAGAGCCACTTTGCCCAGGGAAGAGGGTGACAAGCCCGTGGAACAAGCCCTTAAGGGCTTTCAGTGCTCTGGCTGAGAGCTGTCTCCCTCCCTTTCCAGACCCTGGAAGGTCAGGGGGAAAAAGAAACCAAAACCCAAACAAACAAAAGAGGGAAGGGGAGAGGGAAGGGATACACAGGGATGTGTCTGTGGCCACGGTGCAGGACCATGACGGATCCAGGTGGAATCTCCGGGTTGGCCACCAGCTCCAGGGAGTTTCAGGGAGGCCACAGGGCACTGGGAGGAGCAAGGGACGAGATTCCTTCAGCGGGACACGTCCATTCCCAAGGATCTGGGTGTCAAAACACGAGTCTGCAGCCTTGCAGGGAAGTGCCTGAGCAAGGAATGGCTCACCCAGCTCGCAGAAGAGCTTCCCAGCTGCTGTGGGGAGGAGAGCCAGGTCCCAGGCACAACCAGCTCCTGGTTCCCCTCTCAGGAGAGGGGCCCTGGAAAGGCTGGAGAGCTCCTGGCACGGCAGGGAGGCCAAGGAATGCCAGGAAGATGACGCAGGTGGCAAGTGAGCAGAGCAGAACCGCCCTGGAGCGTGCCCGAGTGCCCAGCAGGACCTCCAGAGCTCACCAGAGCCTGGAAACGGGATCAGACACGGCCCTTCCATCGCCCACAGGCAGGCAGAGCAAGGATGGAAGGAAAGCTGGAGCGGTTTGGGGACAGGAACCAGTTTCCCAGTCAGCAATCCCAGCTCCCAGCACATCCCTCCCCCCCCTCTCCAAATTCCCGTCCTCCCTGCCTGCAGGAGGCTGTTCTGGAAGCACAAACAGGTCACCTTTGGCCAAGCCCTTAAATCCAGCAATAACAACTCCTTGTTCCAGGAGGCAATTAGGGGGCATTACGGGATGGCGCTGGGAACAGCCCACAGGACTCCGGATTCCAGGACACAAATTAGGGATGAACTCACGCAGGGGACACAGTGGGAAGGGCCCAAGGTCATGGGGACGTGGTGCCTCCTGCCACAGCTCCCAACTCCTGGAGCAGCACAAGCCCAGGAACCCCCAAAATCCCAACAGACAGCACGAGGAAAGAGGGATAATTCCAGAGGAAGCAGCTAAATCATCACTAAGAGTTCCTAAAAAAAAAACCCACAAAACCAGGAGGTGGATTTGGGTAACAAGAGCAGGACATTAAAACCCAAATAAATAACCCAAAAAGCACTGATGGAAACAGGGACCCAGGGAAGGGCAAACCAGAGGGAACCTCAGGAGAGAGAGACATTCCTGACGTGGGGAACAGCAAAACCAGGAGGGAAAGAGAAGAGCTTTTTGAGACCCTTATTAATCTGCTGATTCCAGATTTTCCTCCTCTGAAAACCCGAGGCAGGAAAAGGAGGAATGAAAAGGAGCTAAAGGAGCGTTCTGGGCACAGTCCAGAATCCTGATCTTTGCCTGGATTCAGATTTGAACAGTTCCCAGCAGAAGGCTGGCGCTGCCTCCCTCGGGAACTCTGCGATCCAGCGGAGCTGGGGATGGCACAGCGGAGCTCACACCTCACTCCCACGCCGGGCTGCTTTTAGCTCCGGGAGAAGCCGCCGAATCCCGGCTTTTTTCCCCCTGGAATGGAGCCCAGGACGGGGTGTGGGGTATCCCTGGATCCCCCAGCGTTTAGGAGGCGCCTCCCTGGGCGGGCACTGACCTTCCTCTGCTCCTTCCTCATCACGTGTTTGTCCTCGTCCTTCCAGTAGGCATCTTCCAGCTCCTGCTGCCTCCTGGCATCGGCCGCTGCCTTGGCCTCGGCTTTCCTCGCTCGGGCAGCAGCCGACTTGGTGTTTTCCCCCTGGAACTTCTTGGGCATCCCTCAAGGTGCTCTTTGGGGGAGGAAGGCAGGGTCAGGCCCTCGTGCCCTGGCTTTGGGGTTTGCTGGGAAAACGCCTTTTAGGGGATCACTGAGGTTGGGAAAGGCCCCTCAAGGTCACGGAGCCCCCCACTGTGCCCTATGCTCACCCTGTCCCCCAGCACTGAGTGCCACCTCCACCCTTCCTTGGGCACCTCCAGGGCTGGGGGCTCCAAACCTCCCTGGGCAGCCTCTTCCAGTGCCTGAGCACCCTTTCCATGGGGAAATTCCTCCTGATGTCCAACCTGAACATCTCCTGGCCATTCCCTCTCCTCCTGTCCCTTGTTCCCTGGGAGCAGAGCCCGACCCCAACCTGGCTCCCCCCTCCTGTCAGGGGGTTCCAGAGCCCAAAGGTCCCCCCTGAGCCTCCTTTTCTCCAGGCTGAGCCCCCCCAGCTCCCTCAGGAGTTCTCCAGATCTTCCTCCTTATGCTCCAGCCCCGTTCCCTTCTCTGGACACGCTTCAGCCCCTCAATGCCCTTCTTTTCCTGAGGGCTCCAGAACTGGCACCCTGATCTGAGGCCCGCGCATACAGGGCCGAGGAGCCACCCTGGATCCCAAATCCGGGGGGTTTTAATGGCAGGTGTTTAATCTGTCGGACAAAGGCGGGCACAGAAGGGCTGCTCGGGAGGGCTGGCCGCTCCACCCCCAGGGTTCTCCCAGCCTGGATCGAATCCCTCCTCCCGCCGGCTGCATCCTCTGGCCCTTCCCTAAACCCCTTCCCCTGCCCTCTGACCCTTCCCGGGGAGCGGGATCCGGGCCCAGGGTGGGATGGGGATGGTGGGGGGGAATTGGGACACCCGGGCCTGTCCCCCCTCCATCGCCACCCCCAGGCCTCCCCGCCCCGTCCTCCCCCGTTCCCGCCCCGTCCGGTCCGGTCCCCGCCGCCCCCGCCCATCCCCGGTCCCCAACCGGCCCCGAACCGGCCCCGCTCCTACCCGGGCCCCGCCGCCCCGCCCGTCGCGCGCCTTGCGCGTCATCCCCGCGCGCCGGCACCCCCGCGGGGTGGGGGGGGCGGGAGAGGGGCGGGCGCCGCCGCCGCCATGTTTGTTAAGGGCCCCCGGGGCCGCCTCGCTCCGCCCGCGCCGCGGCACCGGGAGAGGCGGGGGAGGGAGCGGAGGGAGAGGAGGGAGCGCCGGGACGGGCTGGCCGCGGGTTTCGCCCGCGGAGCGGCGGGAAGGCCGAGAGATAACGTCTCTCTCTGCCCGGCTCAAAGATGGCGTCGCCCCGAGGGGCGGCTCTGAGGGGGTGTGGGCGGGGCTTGGCAGGGCGTGGTCCCGCTGTCAACCGGGCGGGTGGGGCTTAACAGGGCGTGGCCCTCCCGTCACCCGAGTGGGTGTGGTTTGGGCGGGCGTGGCTCGGTGTCACCTGAGTGTGAGGAACTTCTCAGGTCTGACCCCTTTGTCACCTGGTGGCTTCATCAGGGCAGAGCCCATTGTCACCTAGGTGGGCGGGGCTTAACAGGGTGTGGCCATTGTCACCTGAGTGAGTGGGACTGACCAGGGCAGCTGTTTCCTCTCCCCTCCCTCAGCACCCATCCCTGTGTCCCCCCAGTTTGACCCCTCCCCAATTCCAGCTGCGCCCCCCGAGGGGCTCAGCCGTGTCCCCCCCCAAATCCCCCCAGCCCCCCAAGGACAGGCTCCTCCCAGGATCAGCTCCTCCTTTATTGGGGACCCCGGGACAGGGCTGTGCCCCCATCCTGCTGTCCCCCACAGCCAGGTCACCGTGTCCCCCCGTCCCCCTACACGTGGGTCTCCCGCAGCAGCAGCTCCGTGGTGGTTCCGGGCTCGGGGGGATCCCAGGAGGGACTCCCCTCCCCCTCCAGCCTCTCTGGCAGCGCCTGGGAAGCTCCAGCCTTGTCCAAGGTCTCGTCCCTGGGGGTCCTGTCCCTCGGGGGGACCCCCGAGGGCGTGTTCCTCACGATGTCCCACCACAGCACCCCCGGGGGCCGCTGCCTCTGCCGGGTGGGCCCTGCCGGGAATGGGGGGGTCAGGGAGGGGGTGCAGGGATGGGACCTCCCCACGCCAGGTCACAATACCCCCCGTGGCTCACCTGGTAGGGAGCTGAGCAGGACCCCCACCCCCACCGTGCTGAGGGTCCCCAGCGCCCCGTAGTACAGGTAGGACATGGAGTAGAAGTCCCCCAGGATGGCCGGTCTGTGGGGGGACACGGGGACACCAGTGGTGTGACCTCACAGTGAACGAGGAGGGGGGGGTGTGACACCAGAAGGGACAAAGGAAGCACAGTGACATCGTAAGGAATGAGGGGAAAAGCGTCCAGACATCCCAAGGGAAGCAGTGTGACGTCATGAGGGACAGCAGTGTGACGTCACACGGGACAGGGGAAGCCCTGTGACATCACAACAAGCCACCCAACCTCCCAGACCACCCCCCCGGCCTCCCCCTCTCACCGTGTGGGCTCCTGGGGGTCCCCGGGGGGGCCAAGGGGTGTGGGCAGGGCGGTGCTGTTGGCGCCGGTGCCGTTGGAGGGGGGGCAGAGGGCCCCGGAGCTGGGCAGGACCCCCATGGTGGCTGCGCTGGGGGGGTACAGGGTGGCCCCCACGGCCACCCAGAGGGACAGGGCGAAGCCAGCGGCCAGGCCCCCCAGGACACCCTGCAGCACAGGACAGGGTGGGTCTGCACAGCCTGGGGGAGGCTGGGATGGACCCCAGAGACCCCCCCCAAAATCCCCCTCCAGACTCACAGCCAGGCTGCAGAGCGACAGGACACCCCCCACCCCCCCTCAAAATCCCCAGGCTCACAGCAGGAACATGCCCAGGACCCCAGAGTGCCCCCTCCCCCAAATTCCCACTCCCCCAAATCCCCCTCAGTCACGGTTCTGCTGCAGAGCTGCAGGACCCAGAACACCCCCTGCCCAAAATCCCCTGAGCCCCCCCTACTCACGGCCGTGCTGCAGAAGGGCAGGAACATTCCCAGGACAAAAGCCCCCAGCAGGGCCACTGATCACCCCCATCACCGTGAAGGAGCCCTGAGGGGGCACAGCTCCAGTGGGGGCCTCAGGAGCACTCGGGGGCTCAGGGGAGCAGGGGGTGTTTGGCTTCTGCCCCAGCCCCCCAGCTCGAGGGCTCTCCAGGTGCCAGCAGAGCGTGGCCGAGTCGTGCTCGGCCAGGCAGAGCCAGCATGGGGGGCTGGGGGCTTTGGGGGGTTTGGGGTGGGTTAAGGGTGACTCGGTCCCCACTCGGGGCTGGGCTCGGAAGGGGGGGGTCTCACCTGCAGGACGCCCCCCCCCAGCAGCGAGGACAGAGCTGCCACCGTGATGCACGAGGTGCCGTAGGTGAGAGCTGTGGGGAGAGGGGAGGGTCGGGATGTGGGGTGGGATGGGATGGGATGGGATGGGATGGGATGGGATGGGAAGGGATGGGATGGGAAGGGGTGGCATGTCCCTGTGGGGGGTTAGCAGGTCAGGGCCTGGCACAGCCCGGCACATGCCAGGCTGGAGTAGCAGGGCCCGGCCAGGGGCACTCACAGAGCCCCTTGGAGATGAGCGTGAGCTTCCTGGGGGACAGCGAGGGCAGCCGCGGCTTCACGAAGTCCTCCACAGTGACGGCGGCCATGGCGTTGATGGAGGTGGAGGCCGTGCTGGGGGCGGGGGGCACCGCTCAGCCCCGGCCCCCACGGGGGGGGCAGGGGGTGCATCCCCTCCCCTGGGGGACCCCCGTGCTCACCTGAGGGTCCCGCTGTAGGCGCAGGCCAGGAACAGCCCCGGCACCCCCGGGGTGGTCTCGAAGATGTCCAGGACCAGGTAGGGCATGTACTGTAGGGGGAGGGGGCTGCAGGACCCCGGGGCAGGACCCCAGGGGACCTGAACACCCTCTCCTGCCCCGCTGCCCTCAGGGGGTGCTCAGGGGGGCAGGACCCAAGGGGACCCCAACGCTATCTACGATGCCCTTGACCTCCCACCCCGCTGCCCTGGGGGGTCCTGGAGGGGCTGGTACGTGGGGGACCCCAATGCCCCCTTCAAAACCCTCGTCCTCCCACCCTGCTGCCCTGGGGGGTCCGGGGGGGCCGGTACCTGGTCGGGGGCAGCAATGGTGCCAGCCAGGAGGGGGTCACAGTCCTTGTAGAGGGCAAACATGACGAGGCCACAGGCGACCGCGCTGACGACGATGAAGAACAGCCCCACTTGATTCACCAGCAGCGCCCTGTGAGCACAGGAGGGGGGATGAGGAGGGGGCCCAGCTGGGTGTGGGGGCCGGGCAGGGCTGCAGGGGCTGTGCAGGGTCCGTGCAGGGGCACAGGGGCCGTACAGAGGTGCCAGGGCCATGCAGGGGTACAGGCACTGGTGCCCCTCAGGGGACAAACTCCCAGAGCGGGACCCAGACGATCCCAGCACCCTGGGGACTCACATCTTGGCCTCCCTCTCGGTCCTGCAGGCCACGTAGCGCTGCACCTGGGCCTGGTTGACGCCGTACATGGAGAGCCAGACCAGGGTCCCGCCCAGCAGGAAGGTCCACACCGTGTAGCGGCTCCGCGGGTCCGGGTTGAAGCTGGGCACGGTGGCACCACCGTGAGGGGGGACAGGGTGGGCTGGGCTGGCACCAACACCCCCCCTAGAGCCCCAGGGCAGGGGGAGCGGGGTCTGCACACCACGGGGTGGGGGGACTCACTCTCCGAAGTTCACCCTGGAGCCGTTGGCAGCAATAGCCAGCACCTTGGCAGGACCCCCCACCAGCAGAGCCCCCCGGATGACGATGGCGATGAAGCCCGAGAGCATGACGAAGACCTGGAAGACGTCGGTCCAGATGACAGCCTTCATCCCTCCCTGCGCCAGACAGAGCTGATGGTGACCACCAGGGACCTCCAGCACCCCCAAGACCCCCCCAGGGGCTCCCCCACTCACGATGGTGGTGTAGAAGGTGCAGATGACCCCAGTGGAGAGCAGGGACGCCCAGATGTCCAGCCCGGTCACTGGAGGGGAAGGGACGGTGCTGAGCAGAGCCCCGGGGGTGAAATGTCCCCTGCGGTGGGACCAGGATGGGGTGTCCCCAGCTCAGGGACAGGGACACACCGGGGAGCAGCCCCCACACACACACCTTGGTTGAGGATCAGGGCCGGGGCGTAGATGACAATCCCAGTGTAGAGCATCTGTGGGAAGAGAGGGGGGTCAGCACTGTGTCCCACCGGCACCGTGGGCACCAGCGCAGGTGGCACCGCTCCGGCGGGGACGGGGACAGAGCGTGACAGCGCTGGGAAAACACTGCGGTTTTCACTCAAAACAGGGCACCCGCCGGGAGCCGCGCGCTCGGAGCCAGGGAAAACACGAGCACGGGACCGAGGACGCTCCCCGGGGGCTCAGGGCACGCACCCCCCACGCCACCACCGTCCCCGTCCCAGCCCGGCACCGCCGGCACGCACCGTGGCCACCACGTACTGCAGGGTCCCGCACAGCCGGACGCTCCTGCTGAACCGCCGCTCCAGGTACTGGCACAGGGACAAGGACACCGAGCACGTCGGGGCCGTCCCGGCAGCAGAGGCCGCTCCAGGGCGGGATCCCCGTGTGCCCCCACCCCAGCCCCGTGCCCACCTCGTAGGTGCTGGTGAGCCCCAGGCGGTAGAAGACGGGCAGGAAGAGCTGGGCGGTGAGCAGGGTGTTGATGAGCTGGGCCATGCACATCCAGAGGAATTTGGCGCCGTACCGGAACGCCTCCGCCGGCACTCCCAGCACCTGGATGGCCGACATGAAGCTGGCGGAGAGCGAGAGCCCCACGGGCAGCGCCGACATGCGCCGGCCCCCCGTGAAAAAATCCTCCGAGGTTTTCTGGCCGCCCCTGGCGAGGCCGTGGAAGAGCCCGATGCCCGTGGAGATGAGCAGCATCAGCCCGAAGACTCCGTAGTCCCAGAGGCTGAAGGTGAGACGCTCTGGAGCCCGGAGCTCGGGGCTGCCCGTCGGGGCTGGCATGGCCACAGCAAGGCGGAGATTCCCAAACCAGAGGATGGGGACACGGCACGTGCGGCCGGGCCGGGACACGGTGAGAAAATTCCTCGGAATTATTGACCAGCGCTCCGGGCGCAAAGGAGGAGAAAATTCCTTGGAATTATTGATCAACCCTCCACGCTGCAAGGACGGAGTGCGGATTGGGAAGCAGGGCTGTGCCCCGCCCTGTGCCCTCTGCGCCCGTCCCAGGCGAGGTCTTGTGCCAAGGGCAGAGCTGCACGAGGGACAACCCGAATTTGCCCCGTTACCTCCCGGTCTGGAGCTGAGAGAGGCAGTGCCTGGTCCAGCTGCTCCGGGGAAGCGTCGGCACCCGAAGGACACGGCCGGGAGGGAGGGAAGGAGGGGAGGGAGAGACCCCTCCCCAGCCAGCACAAACAAGGAGGAGCAGAGCCTCCGGCAGAGCCAAATTTATCTCCGGCCGAGGGAGGGGGAAAAACAAACCCAGAGGAAACCTTTACCCAGAAAAAAAGCAGGTTGTTTGCAGGCAGCTGCCTGCAGAGCGGGAAGGACCGGCTGCCGAGGCTGAGGAGCGGAGCGGGGGCTGCCCGGGGGTCCCTGGGGGGCCCTGGTGGGTCTGAGAGGCCGCTGCGATGTGTCCTCGGAGGGGCGGCGCGAGGGGCGGCCGTGCCTCGAGCTGCGGGGACGGCGGGAGGCAGGTTCAGGCCGTCGGGGAGGGACGCTCCGTGGGGAGGACGGAGCCGTCGGGGGCCGCGGCCATAACCCCTTCCCTGCCGTGCCCCGGCACCGCTCGCGGCCCCGGCGGTGCTGCCGTGTCCAGACCCCGGTGAGAGCCGGGCACTGACCCCCAGGAGTGCAGGGACAGCTCTGGCGACGTGGCACCGGGCGTGGGGCTGGCCCGGCTTCCTCATTCCCTGGCACAAACACCGCTTTGTCCCGCCTGGCCCTCCGACAGGTTTGGTGATTTCCACCTCTCTGCCCTTAAGCCCCGGGTCGAGGTTCGATTTGGGGCTGGGGAACAGCCCTGATGTGGGGTCGGAGCTGATGCAGGGGCGCAGTTTCCTCTGGCGTGTCACCGTCGAGGCACGGTCCCCTCCAAGGTGTCACCGTGGGGGCACCGTCCCCTCTGAGGCATCACTGAAAGGCCACCATCCCCTCCAAAGCATCGCCACGAGGGCACTGTCACCTCTGAGGCACCCCCACGAGGTCACTGTGCCCTCCAAAGCATCATCGTGGGGGTATTGTCCTCTCTGACGCGTCACCACGGGGGCACTGTCACCTCCAAGGTGTCACCACGGGGTCACTGTCAGTTCCAAGGGGTCACCAGAGGGGGGTCATCCCCTCCGTGGGACAGAGGAGGGTCCCTGGGCCCTGCCTCCAGCTGCAGTGGCACGGTCCCTGTCACCTGTCCCCTGGGGCTAGGGCTGGGCAGGACCCCTGCCCCACCTCGATGAGCTGGTTGGCGCAGCTCCAGGGGAAAAACACCGAGATTTGGCCCCATCCCGAGGCAGGTATGTGCCACACCACATGGCACCGGGCCCGGCACACGCCCAGCACCGCGGTGACACCCGGGGCACGACCGGGGAGAGGGGGCAGGGCCGTCCCTGGGGCACTGAGGGTCCCAGCAATGGGGTGCAGGGCAAGGGCAGGCAGCAGCCCTGGGAAGGGATGTCCTGGCAGAGCACTGCCCAACCCTGTGGTACCCACAGCGCCAGGACAGGGGTCTCTTGGGTGCCTGGGGGGTGCCCAGGCTCCCTGCCCATCACTGCACGCCGTCCCTGCACCCTGGGGTGTCTGCTCTGGTCCCCCCTCCCCTGCCAGGAAGCCACGCACCGGGGAGGCCTCGGGCAGGAAGGAAGTCAGCCAGGGGGACTTTTCATCTCTCTCCTTCGCTCGCAGCCACCTACGCACCCCCAGAGCCCGGGTGTGGCAGCACACCCTGCCCGGGACCCCCTCCCCAGGGCCACGGCGAGGCCCCCGGCACGGCAGAGGTACCACACGGGCACGGAGGGCTCTGGGGGACGGAGCTGAGCCCTCCCCGCGCGGTGAGGCGGAGGAGGAGCAGCCGTGGGACAGGGTGGGAGGGGGTTATCCCACCAGGGGCTCAGCTTTGCCTTCATCCCTCCCAGGAGGGGCCAATCCCGGCCCTGGGGGTGCTGCAGGTTCGGCCGCGGGGTTGGACCCTGAGGGAGGATGATGAGGGAAAGGCAGGGAAGGGGAGTTGTGGGGCCAGGGGGTCACCCTGAGCCCCCCTTTCCCCCGCAGCGCCCGCCATGGCCCCGCTGGGCGAGGACACGCCGCTGATCGGGGGCCGCTCCTGCAGCCTCTCCTCGGCCGAGCCCGGCAAGACCGGCACCCTGCGGGTGCTCCTGTACCCCCGGGCGCCCGCCCCCCGCAGCCCCCCCGGCGCCCTCACCTTCAGCAGCGGCGAGTTCACGGCCGAGGAGCTCTGCGTGCGCGCGGCCAAGGCCTGCGGTGAGCTCGGCGTGCCGGCCGTGGGGCCACGGTGCCAGCCGTGGGCACGGGGTCCTGGCTGCGGGACGGGGGTCCCAGCCCCGGGCTCGTGGTCCCGTGCCCCTGTCCTCGCCGGGGGTCCCAGCCCCACCCTCCACCCCCAGGTGTGCTGCCCGTGTGCCACCCACTCTTCGCCCTGGCCACGGAGGATCTGAGCTGCTGGTTCCCCCCCAACCACCTCTTCACCGTGGATGAGTCCTGCAGCCAGGTCGTGGTGTACAGGATCAGGTACGGCCCCAGCCCAGCCCCCCGGGACCCTCTGGGGGGGTCGTGTGCTCTGGGGGACGCAGCTCTGAGACCCCTCCGCTGGCCCTGCCAGGTTCTTCTTCCCCAACTGGTGTGGACTGGGACAGTCCCACCGCTTCCAGCTGCTGAATGACCGGGCCAGCCCCATCCTGGACTACCCCGTCATCGATTACCTGTTTGCCCAGGTGAGCTCTGTCAGGTGGCATCTCTGTCCCCAACTCCTGGTGCCGCGGGCAGGGTCCCGTGTGGCTTCTCAGGGGTGTTAACTTCAGTGCAGTGATGTCCTTCATCGCCCTGGGCTGTGCCTCCTCCTCCTCCTCCTCCAGCACCTATAGGTCCCTGCAAGATGTGGATCCTCTTACCTGGCTCACCTGGAGCTGCTTGTGGGGCACCCCAGGTTGCTGAGATGGGGGGTCACTGTGCCCCCTGGGTGGCACCTGCCCCAGGGACAGAGCCGGGGAAGCAGCAGGAAACCAGAGCCCGGGGCAGGATGTGACTCACATGGGCACTGGGACAGGGGGGCAACATGTGCCACAGACTGGGGGTCTTGGGGTGCCTCAGGTGTCCTGGCACGGCAGGAGGTGGGAGAACCCCCCCCAAACCCTCGTGCTCCCCCCAGTCCCGCAGTGACTTCGTCGAGGGCCGCGTGGCCGTGGGGCTGAGCCTGCCCACGCAGGAGGAGTGCCTGGGCCTGGCCGTGCTGGACATGCTGCGCATCGCCAAGGAGGAGAGGCAGAGCCCCGACCAGGTCTGCAGCCACGTCAGGTGAGCTGGGGGGCTGGGGGCACAGCGGGGCACTCATGGGACAGCCTGGCACCCCTGGGGACAGTCCAACACCCATGGGGAACACCTGGCACTCCTGAGGACACCCCGTTAACTCGCCTGCACCCCCCCGTCCCCGGTAGCTACAAGTCCTGCATCCCGGAGCCGCTGCGGAGCCAGATCCAGCAGCACAACTTCCTCACCCGCAAGCGCATCCGGCGCCGCTTCAGCAAATCCCTGCGGAAGCTCGGGGGCTGCCAGACCGACGGGCCCCACCTGAAGCTCAAGTACCTGCTGGACCTGGAGCGGCTGCAGCGCCGCTGGGCCGAGGAGAGTTTCCGTGTCCGCTCCCCCGGCGCCCCCGCGGGCATCACCATCCACGTGTCCGGGGAGAGCGGCGTGTCCTGGAGCTGCGGCCCCTCCGAGGTGCTGGGGAGGAGCGGGGGGGGGGAACTGTAGGGGAGGTCCCGCGGTGGGATGAGGTGGGGGGCGTGGCTGTCACCCCGTTTGTCACCCCCCCAGAACCGCCAGCACTTCTGCGACTTCCCCGACATCGCCGACATCAGCATCAAGCAGGCGGGCGGGGAGGGCGGCCCCGCCGAGACCCGGCTCGTCACCCTCACCAAGGCGGACAACCGCGTGCTGGTGAGCCGCGGGGGTGGGCTGGGGAGCCCCCCCGGGGGACTGGGGGGGCTGTGGAGCTGACCCCACCCTGCCCCAGGAGGTGGAGTTCCCCACGCTGCGGGAGGCTCGTTCCTTCGTGGCTCTCATCGACGGCTACTACCGGCTGACGGCGGACGCCCAGCACTACTTTTGCAAGGAGGTGGCCCCGCCCCGGCTCCTGGAGGACGTGGAGAACCAGTGCCACGGGCCCATCAGGTGGGTGCCGGGACCCTCCCCTCGCCAACCCCAACCCACAGGTGACAGGGGCAGGGGTCACCTGGGGGGAGCCACTGGACTGGTGCCCACCCCCCTCACCGGGGTGGGGGGGACACTGCTGGGAGGGGAGGGGAGGGCAGTGAGGGTCCCCTGGGGGGGTCCACACCCAGCCCTGCCTTTCCCAGCGCCGAGTTCGCCGTGAGCAAGCTGAAGGCGGCCGGGAGCCCCCCGGGGCTGTACCTGCTGCGCCGCAGCCCCCAGGACTTCGACAGTTACCTGCTGACCGTCTGCGTGCAGGTGAGACCCCCCCTCACCAGGGGCTCCAGGGGGGTTTGGAGGGCTCTGGGGTGGTCCCCACACTGCTGATCCTGATTGATCCCCCCCACAGACCCGCTCCGGGCAGGACTACAAGCGGTGCCAGATCCGCAGGGACGAGGAGGGACACTTCTGGCTGTCGGGGGTGTCGCGGAGGTTCTGCAGCCTGCGGGAGCTGCTGGGCACCTACGGGCGCTGGGGGCTGCAGGCGGAGGGGGCCAGGATGCACCTGGGGGCCTGCTGCCCACCCCGCCCCAAAGGTGACACGGGGGACGTCACAGAGAGGGTGCTGTGATGTCACAGAACAGCTGTGATGTCATAGAAGAGCTGTGTGACATCACAGAACGAGTTGTGTGACATCACAGAGGGGACGGTGTGACAGCACACAGCTGCTGGGTGACGCCAAAAAGCTGACTTGTGTGAGGTCACAGAGCAGGCTGTGATGTCATAGAGGGAGGCTCTGTGACATCACAGAGGGTAGGCTGTATCACAGAGCTGCTGTGTGACATCACAGAGCAGCTGTGTGAGGTCACCAGGTGGGTGCCCCTGCTCTGCCCCCCCTCATGGCCTTCCCTCCGCCTTTCCCTCCCCCCCCAGAGAAGTCCAACCTGCTGATTGTTCGGGGTGGGGCCCCCCCTCTCCCCGGCTCCCCCCCTGCCCCCCGGCGCCGCAGCCTCAACCAGATGATGTTCCACAAGATCGACCCCCAGAGCCTGACGCAGGTATGGGGGGCCCAGGGCGGTGGGTCAGGGGGGACACAGGGACAGGGGACCCTCCAGGACCATCCCCCCTCTCCCGGCAGGGCGAGAGCCTCGGCCAGGGCTCCTTCACCCAGATCTACAAGGGCATCAAGCGGGACCAGGAGGAGCAGGAGGAGGAGGGGGACGGGCCCCGCGAGACCACGGTGGTGCTCAAGGTCATGGACAGCAGCCACCGCAACTGCTCCGAGGTGAGGGGGTGGCACAGCCCCCCCGAG